AATATAGCCCCAGAAACTTTAGCTGGATCAATTAGACAAGAGAAAAAATTAAAAGGAATAAAGACAGGAAAGGAAGAAGTTAAACTGTCATTATTTGCAAATGACATGGTACTCTACTTAGAAGACCCCAAAACCTTGACTAAAAAACTGGTAGATTTAAAAAGCTAACTCAGTAATGTAGACAAAGTCAACACAGACCTAAGTCTATCACCATGCACTAAAGTCCAAATGGATCAAACTAAATATGAAAACAGAAACATTAAATCTGCTGTTAAGATAGAGTAGGAAAAACTCTTAAAGACATTGGTGTATGCAAAGACTTCATGAACAAAACCCCAACTGCCCAACAACTGTCACGAAGAATCAACAAATGGGATCTCATCTTACTAAAAAGCTTTTGCACAGCAAGAGAAACCACCAACAGAGTGAAGAGACAACCCACAATGTGGGAGAAAATATTGGCCAGCAGTTCCTCAGGCAAAGGATTACTATCAAAAGCATACAAAGAATTCAAAAACATCAGTCTTCCGATATTTAACCCCCCCCCAAAATGGGTTCACACCCTTCTCACATGAAGAAATGCAAACAGAAAATAAATAAATTTTAAAATATACAACATCACCGGTCATTCAAGAGATGCAAATTAAAACACTGAGATTCTACCTCACTCCAGAAAGAGTGGCCATCATCAAGAAATTAAACAACAACAAATGTTGGAGGGGCTGTGGGAAAAAAAGAAACCTTTTAAAAAGATGGTAACACTTTTTAAAAACTCTTTACTGTAGATTTTTTTCCTTTCATAATCAGCCTAAGTCCATTCTTATACTCCGATATCAATGCAGTAGTTATAGCTATTGTAAACCCAAATATCGAGTTCAGTCATCCAAATATTGTAATGTTCTTTCTAGTTTTTCTCATAATCCAAGAAGTTATATTTATAATCCCATTGAGACTTATTGGAATCCCAGCAAGTTAATTCCAATCTACCACCTCCAATGCAACCCACAGCAAGAGTAAAGACTCCAAGACATGTTCCATGTTAAGGTCAGCCAAAGGATCCTAAGTCCAATCCTCGTGAGGACATGCTGACAAAGGCCTCAAACCTAGGCCTCTCCCAGAATTTATTGTCTTGTGAAGAAGAGGGGTGGCTCAGGGATGAGTGACAGTAAGAATAGCAGGACATATGTGACTAACTTGAGCTGGTTGGCCACCTGCAAGAATGGCATCTCTGTAAATTGAATAGATAGATATGTAGAAGGCTCAATTTACATAATCCAATTAAGGTAGCATTGAAATTGCTTGGAGGGGCTATTGCTTTGGTTTCTGATATGCAAACTCTTGTGCCCTGAGGAGTCACAGTCTCTTATCTTGAAGCCTATACCCAGTTGATATTCTGAGAGCTATTTGCGCTAACATGTGGCACGCTCCTATGCTGTACATATCTATATTGTACAGAGAACACTATGTGAGGAAACAGGACTGTCTGTTGGCTCTAGAGATTACATATTAGCATCTTGGCTAGCCTTATTTGCAATGCTTAGAGCCAATTAAAGAGAAAAGGAAATATTCTAGCCAGCTTTTTACATATCAGTATAAGGAAATGAGTCTCCAATGTATAAAAGTATAAGGAAATGTGACTCAAAGTCACAGTAAATGTTCTGCATTTAAAGGGAGTCACTGGAGTTGTCTCTCATAAAGAGCCTTTTTTTAAGCCCCTAATTGGATGACAATGTGCAATGTGTGTGCCATTGTTGCCCCAATTTATGTGTTTTGAAATTTTTTTCTCTTTGAAATAAAATGGACTTTAGCAATACTTTAACTGAAAAATAATTCAATAATGCAAAAAAAATAAACTCCCATAATTCAAGACTGCTGCGCAGATCCCACGTTCTTTCCTTGGAAACCAGAAGAGGAGAAGGGACTGGCTGTTAGAGGTGCTGGAGGACAAGCTGAGGGCTTTTGATCCAGTTCCTCGGTTGGCACCTTACTTCCTGCCTCAGCCTTCTGGCAAGAAGCAAGGGAAGGGAAGGACATCAGCACTGGAGGGGGACGTGGAAGAGGCCATGCCTGGGTGTTTTAACCTGGCCTCCAGGGTAAACCCAGTGCCCTGGCTGGAAGGGAAGATGGAAGCATTGCCTGGGTCTACGACAGAGTCACATGAAGCCAAGGGGACCAGGCCCTGTTCCTCAGCACACCTGCGACATGGAGCAGCCATGCAGGCTCCAAAGGACCTTGGGAGGTGACGCCTGTTGTCAGCACCACCTCAGTGCCACGAGGCCTTGGCCTGGCTGCTTAGGTAAGGGGACCCCATGTGGTTCTCTGGGAACACACAACTTTACGTCATTTCCTCTTCCCACACAGAAGGGAGGGCCTGTGAAGCAGGAGCACACCGAGAATGCTGCTACCCCAGCCCTCGCTCTGCTGCTCCCCAGGACTCTGTGGCCGAGCCCCGTTTATTATGCCAGGTGAACATCCTTCTCCCCACTCTTCCCATCTGCCTGCCCAGAGCCCCAGCCAGACCCTTCTCCCAGCCAGGCCCAGTCCTCCTGCTTGCTCTTCTCTTGCCTTGTGAGAAACCATGTGTCAGCTCCCACGTTAACACTCTGCTCTCTTCAGAGAATCCTGTGGGGGGCACTTTTGGCCTGGGACAAAACCTGAGGATATGTGACAAGGTGAGGTCCTTCTCCCCTGAGCTGGGCCCTCACTGCAGCACAGCCTGGGGAGAACACGGTTCCAACTCCACAGTCCTCATTCAGCCCGTGTCTATTGCAGGGAGCTCTCATCTGTCCTCCCACCCTCCAGAGTCTCTTGGAAACCAGCACCATTTCTCTTCAGGCCCTGGAATTTTGTAGCAGGTTGTGCAAACCTGTCAGCCTGGGGCCTCTGAGGGCTGAGTGCAGGCCACAGAATTCCTGGACACAGCCTCTGGAGCTGTTACTGCCTGAAACCCCTTCCTCCAGCTCTCAGGAACTCCTTTACTATTGCTTCTTAGAATCCCTTCTGATCCAAGTGACCTCACTTCCTTATCTCAAAGCTGCCCTTGGAGATGGCATTTTGGGTATTGTGGCCTGCTTTTTCCCAACTGCTCCCACTTGCAAACAATCCTTGTGCCCCTGACTTCCCCCTCCATGGTTGAGATCTGCTGTAACATGTGCAGACTTTTTCCTCCTGTTTCTGAGGTGTAGCATTAGCTCTGTGACTTGGTGGTTCTGTTCAATCCTAAGGAGGTTCAGGGCTCCAATTTCTTTTGGGTCCAATTCCTTCTAGGATGAGGGTCTTTCTGGTAGCAGCCTCAGCTATTCCCCCTGGGGACCAGCAGAGGTGAGGAGGAACAGAAACAAGATGGAAGCCCCTGTTTTGAACTCATGTTGGAAGCCACATTCCTTAAGTCTCGTTACTATGAATTGTTTCTATGTGGATTTCAGGACTAGGGGAGAATATAATGTTTCTCTTCATGGTTTTTCACAGAGGTACAAGACATGGAAGGTGAGACCAACAACCCAGATTTCATCCAACTGAAATCCCAAAGGAGAGAATGTCAAATGGAAGGAAATGTTGTAAGAAAACCTTGGTGGATTTTAGAAGACTAAGAAAATACTCTCAGATTCACTGAACTTACCAGATGGTAAGCAGTATAAATTGTTGAAAGATCTATATTTAAATGTATTCGACAAACTATCCTAAAAGTTGTGGGTCAAGAGGTAGTCATTAAATTTTCCAGGAAGAAAAGCCAAGCCATCTAAGAAAAAATGAGCTCGTTATCAGGAAACGCTGTATCAGAAAGAGCAAGGAAACAGTTCCAAGATGTGAGGCACAGTGAGTTCAAACAGCAAATTCAGACTTCCCTAAATGTCCCTCAGGAGGGCACGTAAGGGAGGGCACGTAAAGACCTTTCCAGTCAGGCAAGACTCTGTCACCAAGACTTTCCCCTGGACTCTAGTAACTGAGAAGTTGGAGTTTTGCACCTCTAAACAAACAAAACTAATCCACAAGGTAGAAAGCTATGTGATGTTTATAGTTCAGCCAGATATGGTGGCTCCAGCCTGAAATCAAGGCTCTCAAAGGCTGAAGCAGGAGGATCCCAAATACAATTCCTGCCATGGGAACTTGGTGAGGTCATCTCGAAAAATGTAATTTTTTTAAAGAGAAGAACAGTGTATAACTCAGTTGATAGAGAATCCATGGGTTTAATCCCCTAGTACTGGCAGGAGGGAGGGTGGGGCTTACAGGTAAGTCTAAATGCAAAAATTAAAAGGCAAAAATACACAGGAAAGTACCAGTCAGCTACATTTTCCATTTGGTGACAGATAAATGTAAGTTTAGGTAATTGTTAGAATTTTAAATTGTTAAAATAGACACAGGAACTAAATATCTTAAATAAGTTACAAGGAAAGTTTGAATAAAGGAAACTTGATGAATTTAACAAGAGGCTGAAAAGGCAGCTGAAATAGAAAGCACAAAATAAGAACCCAGGATTAAGTCCTCACAAATCCATGATCAGAAATCTGACCAGGTCAAATTAACTTGTTAAAAACAGAAACTAGTACTGAAAAGGTTGAGGCAGGAGGACCAAGCATTCAAGACCAGCCTAAGCTACCCACAGGGGAAACCCTGTCCCAAACAAAAAGCAAACAAAGCTTGGCTGTTAGGTTTTTAAAATTCCAGCTTCTTCTGAGAGACACATGTAGGTTAAAAATAAAGAAGCATATGCTAGGGGCTGGGGGTTTAGCTCAGCGGCATAATCACCTGCCTTGCAAGCAGGTGGTCGTGAGTTTGATCCCCGGTACTGATAAAAATGAAAAAGACAAAAAAAAAAAAAAAAAAGAAGCAGATGCTAAGTTTAGTAGTTTGAATGGTGGCCACCATCTTGTTTGATTTTTTGAGCAATACTTTAAAATATTAAAATTTTCTAGTGAAACATTTGATTTCCTTGGTGAGTAACTACCTACACAACTTATCAGTGTCCAAGGGGTACTGCAGAAAACCAGCCATAAACTGGGTGCCTTAAAATACAAAACTTTATTCTCCTGCAGTTCAGCAGGCCAGAAGCCTTTCTGCACCAAGGGACAATGCCTTGCAGGCCTGTCCCTGGATCATGGGCACATCACTCCAAGCTTTGCCCCCCTTCACATGAACGTCTCAGTTCTGAGGACACTTGTCACCATGCTCAGAGCAGGCTGCTCCTGTGTGCTCCCTTTCTGTTCTGGCCTCTCTCCCCTCTGAGGTGCAGTCTCACAGTCATAGGTGCCCTCGTCCTCTCAGGCTTCTGACTGCTTTCACCTCCGCGTCTCGGATGTGAACTTGAACAGTGGGTCCCAGTTTCTCATGGCTGCAGCCCCAGTCTCCTTCAAAGGAAACTCAGCCTCCCCAGCGGCCACTTCTGTTCCGCACCTGCAAGCACAGAAATTTCCTTGTTCCAAGCCTGACCGGCTTTCTTAAGTCCTCCTGAGTCATGTCACAGGATGTACCCATGTTCCTTGAGGTCTGAAGTGTACTGACTTGCAAAGATAGGTCCTGAGTGTCCAGAGCAAACCCTCCCTTGGGCCTATTAGACGTTTGGCTTCTCAGGGCACAGCCACCAACTTTGTAGCCACAGAGATTATAGAACACATAGGAGGGATGGAAATAGAAGGTGAGAGGACTGCAAGAACCTCTTAAAGCTGTGGCCCCTCCAGAGAAAACCGGAGGTACTGCCTGCTCTTGAGCTGCTGGTTTTTCAGTAAGGCCAGCTTCCTGATCTTTGGTGCCAGTCATAGACCAGGCCAGGGAGCAGTAACAGCGCTGCCTCTGCTCATGGGGGCCCCCCTGGTGTCTTTGCTTCATTACCATACCCCTCTCTTGCTCTGCAGTTTTCAGGACAGCAAGGTTTACCATCCTGTTGCACTGTCAGGCTGGTGAAGCCTTATATGAAACAATCACTTGTAATAATTTGTTCAGTAACCCACTTATTTGTCTTTAAACTGGTACATCACCAGAAGACACATATGTACTTTTCTTTGGATGGGTAAAGCGTAGAATGGTATTGGAGTCTATGGCCATACCAAGATGAACACGTCTGATCTCCTCTGATCTCAGAAGCTAAGCAGGGTCGGGCCTGGTTAGTCCTTGGATGGGAGAATGGTATTGGACAATCAGACCATGCAGTTTTCCTGTCTCTCTGATACTTTGGCTGAGTCCAAACCAGTGAGATCATCACAATGCGTTTCTGTCCATGGAAACTGAGTCTGACTTGCCTTTCTGATACTTCCTGTCTATGGTAGTCACCGTTTGCAGGGGAAACAATGCAGGACACATAATTTATAGGATTGTCTTATAATACTCACCCCAAGTATCAAATGCAAAAGAGTGGAGCAGATCTGTTCTCACCATAGAGACTCAAAGAATGTGGCTGAGGGCCTGGATGTGTAGGCACCATGGGGACCTGATTCATATTTTCACATTTGGTGCTTGAAAGCTGTGTGTCCAGAGAAGGGCACAGGCATGGTGAGTTGCGAAAGAGGCCACGGCATGGCCACTGCCAATGAGCTTCCATGGATGTGGGCAGCTGATTACTGGCATAGAGCTAGGGGTTCCTGAAAAGTCCTACAGCTGTCAATATTTTGTGCACTGCACCGAGGGCAGGAGCAGACCAAGGGGACAGAGAGCAGTCAGCATTGCCTTGATACAGTGGGTCCTTGGCTCTTTTCAGCCTGTGCAACTCTTGTCACTCTGTCCTTGGCCTATCACTCAGGTGACAGTGCCGGTACATGGGGTGGCCCAGCTGGCTGCCCTGGGCAGAGAGAGGGAAGGGATAATAGATGTCCTAAGCCAAGGATATGAGTTGTTGGAAGGAGCTGCTTGCTATGGAGACAAATGTGAGGCTGAAGAGTAAGGGTCCTCGAGCCACTGGGGTGGAGGTCTGGGGGGATCGGGACAGAGGAGAGTCACTGGTGGAAGTACAGGGAGCACCAGACAGGGGGCCTGGGAGGAGCAGTGCTGCTGTCCTGTGGTCTGAGCAGCTGTCTAGGGAGGCTGGTGGTAGGCGGGCAGCACACTGTGGGATGATTTGCTGAACAGGGTGAGGACAAGGGAAGAGCAGCAGGCATGGCCTGACCTAGCCCAAGGTGGCTGGCCTGAGACCGGGACCATGTCATAGTATGAACACTTTGGAGAAGGTGCCAGCAGAAACAGATTCAAATGTAAGTAACCAAGGAGAGAGGACAGAGTAGAGTAGGGGACAGTAGTGGTCAGCAGGGAGCAGCCCAATATGGGGATCTGCAAAGCAAGAACAGCCTTCCCTGCCCACTGAAAAACTGAGGACAGCCAGGGATTTAGCTCAGTGGCAAAAGCACCTGCCTGGCATGAGCCAGTTCAGGAGTTTGATTCCTGGTACCAAACCCCTATACCCGCCCAAAATACAAGCATGTCGGAAGCTTCATCAGAGCCTCTAGGCCTGACCTCAGCTCTCACCAGGTCTCAGGACACCACAGCTTGGAACATCACTGAGTGAAGGACTGGCCATGGCACCTGCAGAGGAGAGCAAAGTCATGGTCCATGCCCTCCACCCTCCAGGTAGACAGAAAACAGGAGGTGGAGGATGCCATGCAGCCCAGGAAAGCACAGAGGGTGGGGGTTGCAACTTTAGGGAGGGTAGTCAGTGGGACTCCTCACAGGGAGGGGCCAATGGCAGCAGCATCTGCTCACTGGGACCTGGTCCCTGAGGCAGGAGCAGCCACTGGCTTGGGCCTGAGGTGAGGCAGGCCCCAGATGTATCTTACTGCTGCTGGCCTTCCTCCAAGTTCAGTTCTGTGATGCTGATGTGGCCTCACATGCACTGTAAGCGCTGTGGGATGTCATCAAGCTCCAGAAATCACTGGTGGGATCCAGGAAACTGTGCCAGTGGGGACAAAAGTACTGGGATCCTTGCAGAAGTGGGGCTTGCTGAGCTGTTGGCTACAGTCACAGAAAAGACAAGCAGTTGGTAAATCTCTTCCCTGAATTACTGAGTGTAAAGAAATCGAGTCTCTCTGCTGGTTCTGAGGACCCCTCTGTCCTCTGTCTTCTTGCATTAGCCAGAGGCTCACCCCTGATCCCATGAGGACAGAAGAGTGAGGCTGTGGGACTGAGCTTCTGAGCCTCCTCATGGTGGCCCTGTAGCTCCTCTTATCTGGCAACTGCTTTTAAACCTCCCCAAGTTCTCTGCAGATGGGCAGTGCTGATTTGGAGGTGTTTTTATGTTTTCTCTTGCAGTACTAGAAATCTATCCCAGGGCACCCTCCTGGGGCATGTGGGCCTTTCTGTTGAAGGTGTTGAGAGAAGTGAGCATGGAGTCTTGTTGGTGAATCTTTTATCACCACGGTCACCTCTGTGCATCTATGCCAGATGGCTGCTCACCCAGGATCAGGCAGAAGACCCTGGGGCTCAGCATCTTCAGTAACTTGCCCTATCAAGAGCCTTGCTTGACATCGCTTAGCTCCAGGATTTCTGTGACAGTATTAACACTGAAGGCATCTGACATCCTGCTGTGTACCTGACCTATACCAGGCAACCTAGAAGTGGGAAGAGCCTCCCTTCAGTGAGCAGACAGTGAGGCTCAGTTGTGCTCATCGCCTCCCCACGTGAGGGTCTAAACTTTGTCTTGCATTATTGGTCCCATGTCTGGCCAGAAACCAAGCTTCCTCCAGAGACAAAGGGTGGCAGGCAGTTCTGAGCAGGAACCTGGGCCCAGAGATGGCAGCTCCACAAAGAGCACCACCAGACGAGCTGTCTTCCTGGGTCCCGGGTACCATTTGAGGTTTATTTGGCCCGACCCTATGGGCACACGAGGCCCCATATCTCCAGGTTCCTGAAACAGTTCAGGTGGTTTAATGGGACACTAAATGAACTCAAATTAAAACTTTTGTAAATAAAGCAGCATCTAATGCCTCATATAAAGCAGTGCTTGTTTTTAAGATTAAAAATGCACCCATCTACACAGATGCTCTGCTGCTATTATAGATCAGAGTCCAGTTTTCTTATTTTTATTTTCTTTTTCCCCAGAAAATGTCTCTATTAACCGAAATATAAGCAATATGTACATAAGATAGATTGATTTGAGTGTTTCGCTATTCACTGTACATACCTCCTACCACTTACATGAGTAATTTCTCGATAATAAAATATCTACCAATAATTTTCTGTAAAGTGAGCAAAGCAAGTGAAATGTGTATGGCTGTTAAAGCTTGCAATATTGCCTTCACTAAATCAAAACCACATGTGTTTTTAAAATAAGGCTGTCTAAGGCTTGCTTCCTTAAAATAGAGATGTGCTGGGCCCAGCACAGCACGGCCTGGTGGCCCTGGATCCTTCGCTGAGGTCTGAGGCCCCCCTGGAGATTCTGGCAGAACTGTGCAGCTTTTCAGTATAGTGAACGAGAAGACAGAAGATGCAGGTGCAAGTGAGTGGGGACAAAAGCTGACAAATGCCACAAACTGACGGCTTTGCTGCCGTTTATGGACTATGTCAATTCCACCTGCTGCATATTGACAGTGGAGCAAGTGCTTTTCCATCTTTAAGAGAACAAAGACCAAACTAGGAATCGCTGAACCGCACAAACTGTCTAAACCATGCAATTATTTACACAGACACTACTAAATACCATGCTCCCTGCTCCAATATTATAGCATAGCCATATGAAAAATAACATCACGGCATGATTTTGTCCATAACTAGAACTCTTAGGACCAGGCTGACAACTGACTCCAGGATCCTACAGGTGACAAGACCCAGTATAAGAAAGGGTTATATCATAAAGAACATACTGTAATCTTCACAAGTATTTGGACTTTAAATTAATAGTATGAATACTCAGCATAGCTGCTAAGTTGTTTGGAATAGTTCCGCAAAGTTCCAAAGCAAATCTTGCCTGTGAAACACCTTTTCACACCTGAATACAATTAAACTAGGAAGCAAATTAATTTTTTAGTGTCAGACACCACAGATAACAGCCTGCCATCAAAGGTCGAGTTGAAAGCTTGTAAATTTTTAAGTAAGTCTTTAAATGAAATCCCTGTGCTGTCAGTTTGTCCTTTTAATAATTCCATGGTTTCCCAGTTGGTCTTGCACAATCACGTGCCTAACTTGGAGGAACACTACATAAATATGAGTCCTCAGCCTGAGTGTGTAATTGTGCAGTTCAGCAGCACGTGAGATGTGCTGTGGCTGAGTGTTATTTTCATTGTGATTTATATACACAGCATTTTACAATGTCCACAGGTGCAGAAAGTGTTCATCCTTTTGGAATAGGGGCAATTAAGAAAAGATAAAAACCCAAAGAATCATGGCAAAATATGTACAGCATTTACTAAGGAGGCATCACCCAGATTTGAACAAATTTATGTTAATACTGTAACCGAGTTGGGATGACTGCTGTGGAACATGTTGAATCTGAAAGACAGGAGGCACAGGCATTAGTCAAAAGGAGGGTCCCCCCGGAGCCAGGTTCCCCTTTCTGTCCCCCCCAGTCCTCAGGTCCCCTTGCTCTTCAGGAAGCTCTTTTCAACTGAAGCCATGGCTGCCTTTCTGAAGGCAGAAGAGGAACCCATGGAAGCCAGGCAGCTGCAGAGGAGCTTCCCTGGCCAGGGAAGCACCACCTGCTGGGCCACACTGCACCTGCATAGCCTGGAACCCAGCTGTGGCCAGTCCTTCCCAATCCTTAGATCCTCTTTCACTCCAGAAGACTTTCAGTCCTCAGACTTAAAGGCTTTCCCTTGAGGACACACAAGTAAAGAGTGTTAATTAACTGCACACTGATCGTCTTTCGATAGTTCACCTCCAAGTTCATTTAAAATCATCCTTGCTGATTGGTTTATGAGTACCATAAAGACAGTTTCCTTTCAGGAGTTAAATGGTTCACCTCTCTCTTTGCTTCCACCAGTGGATAACATGGAACAGGAGTCCCCACCTCCCAGGACTACAGAACACCAGAGACTCAGACTCAGCCTCCATAAAATGAAGGCTCTGCACTAGTCCCCTGGACCTCATCCCAACAAGATGGCAGTGTCAAGTGAGGGGTATGACCTAGCCTCGGCCTGACCACCCACCGGGCATAGGTGCTGAGCTCTTGTGATGGACTCTGCTTTCTGGGGAGGGGACAAGGGCTTCTCATCCCAGATGCTTATCTCATGGTGGCTGATTCTGATGGGGGTTCCCTGTGGGTTTCTTCCGCGGAAGAAGGTGGGAAGAAGCAGTGCCTCCCCTTGCCTAGCCAGGGAGAAGAGGTCCCACCCTCCAGTGCTTGCTTAGAATTCAGAGGTCCCCATCATTGCTGCTGGTTCCATAGCTCACCACTCCATGACCCTTGACTTTCCTCAGAAATGTGACACCTTCTCTGTCCCTTCCCAGTGCTTCTATGAAGAAGAAAATGCCCAGGGGAAGCACTTACCTGAGCTAGTGATTATTATTTGTTCCGAGACCAAGTTGTCAATCACCTGAAAGGCAAAGGTTAATAAACATTGTAATGACAGTACAATTTCTAGTGTCTGTGCTCTCAGCATGAATGAAGTGGTTCTCATAGTTTTGTTGAAGCTTAACACTGGCTGCCTGCCTTCAGCACCAATCAGTCTGAGCAAGGTCAAGCTGCACACAGCCCCTGCAACAAGAGTCCCCTGAAAGTAAACTGAGGTCCCATGATGATGGATTGTCAAGCAGGTCATGATGGACCTGCTTTAGTCTTCTACTTGCAGCTTGGAAACTGTGTCCCAGGACCCATTCCTGTCACTTTCAATCTTAACAAGCTTCTCAGGGCTCCTCCTTGGGGAACCTTTTACAAAGGGGGAGGGGCTGCCCGACTGCAATCAGAGCACAAAGAGCTGCTAACTCACAAGAAGACACAGCTGACACACAAGGATCCAAGATGCCCAGTATCCCAGAATAAGAGGGCGAAACCAGGAGCGCAAAGGCGTCGACTTTAGAGGTGGCAGCTAACTTTTGAATGGCCTATGTCATCAAGTTGTGAGTTACAATACACTCTGCCTGTGCAAAAGCATCATTACTAAAAATGCATCAAAAACAGTAAGTTCTCCCTTGTAAGTAAATATGCAGAAATCCAGAGAGCCATGAATTTCAGGAGTCATAAATTCAACTTCCAAGAAACCATCCTTCAGTGCTAATGGATCCTTGTCAAGCATCCAAACTACACAAGGATAGTGAATCAACAGGGCCTGTGAGTCAAGGCTGGAGAGACAGGAGCCCTGCATTACTCACACCACCTTCCAGGGACTTGGGCTTACACCTCCCTGTGTCAGTCCTCATTTCATAACAAGTTTTGTGAAAGAGTTTTTATCTTCTTAATTCCACAAATCGCTTCTTACCCTGGCCATACTGGTACCGGTCAGTCCTGCTGTCCAGCTTTAAGGGTTTCTTTTCCATTTGAAAAAGTCCAAAGCCCTCCACAGGCAGGCCATCAGCAAGCAGGGAGCTACCCTGAGGTCTCCAGACATCATCCACAGTCTCACAGCTTGTGGTCTTGGGTGAGTGAAGTCCTGGTTCTGTTCCAAAGTTCTCCGAGTGCCTCTTCTTTTGGTATCTGCAGGGCTGAGTGTCTGACTGCACTACTGGGAGGTCTGTGTCCAGCAGACACCTGCAGAAGCAGCAGCCAGATATTAGCAACAAAAGCACCAGCACCACCTCAGACAGCACATGGCACTGTCCTGACCACTTACTGAAGGCACTCAATGTAAAGCCACGAGTCAGTGCTTATCTAGTTCAGAAGGGTTCTCCACTTTCAGCTGTAAATCATTTTAAAGCCCAGGGCCATAAACTCACCAACTTCAACCCACCCCTGACTCCCCCACCACAGGCTCTGTGCTCAGGAGCTGGGGGTGTCAGCTGGAAACATGGAAGTATGGGACATCTACTGAAATCAGTGATAGAAGGAAAAGGAAAAAGACAGACAGACAGACAGACAGGAAGGAAGGAAGGAAGGAAGGAAGGAAGGAAGGAAGGAAGGAAGGAAGAAAGAAAGAAAGAAAGAAAGAAAGAAAGAAAGAGGAAGAGAGAAGGAAGAAAGTAGAAGAAAAACCTTTTTCCAGTGTCTGAGACTTAGAGGAGGAAGGGGTTGGTAATTTGCTTTCATCTGCCCCCTAAGTAACCGATGCCTGTTTATATACAGCTTTTGGCCTTCCTTCGCTAGGATTTTAGGTTTTTAAAGGAAGTTAAGTAGAATACACAGGAATTCCACCCATCCTCACTCATCTTCTCATGAAGCAGTCGGTTTCAAGGCGGCAGCCAAGGCTGGGCCTGTGGCTCCCTGGCAGGCGCTGGCCTCATGAGCACAGCTGTGGGTCTCATCCCCAACACACACACACACACACACACACACACACACACACACACACACACACACACACTCACACAATCAACAACCTATTTAGCATTTTAAAAATGTGACTGTTTTTAGGTTTTGTATTGAGATTCTTAGAAGAAGACCAAGAAAATAAATGATGCCCCTCAGAATCCACCCTTGGCATACAGGGCAAATACCAATAGAACTGTGCCCTACCTTCGCCTGCTTCCATTTAGTCTCTCAATTTACAAACAAAAACAAAATTATGAAATGTAACTTACCTGATCATCAATTTTGAAGTCACCAAGTTACCTCTACAGAACTCACAATTATTCGTAGGATTTACAAAGCATTCACTGAGAATGGCGAAATGAGGCATTTTATGATACAGGAGGTAAAAGCTGCACCGTTTTAGAAATGCAGAGAAACAGTGAAGTTTCAAAACCCACAGAGCTGAGGGACTGGACCCTGCTGGCAGAGCCCGCACTCACCTGTGCTCCCGCTCATGGTGTTTGGCTTTAGATTTGTTAGGCTCCTCCAGGTCTCTCGGTAGGCTCCTGCGGGCTTTCTTTGGTGTGCTACCCCCGTTACAGATACTTTCTGCACTCTGGTACCTGCGCTTGCGTGACCTCATGGTTTCATGTCCACGAATCCGGTGCGACAGGCTGCAACCACTGTGGTCAGCCCCGAAGGCAGCTTTCTCCTGAGGGTAGCACTCAGGGTGCAGAGGGAAAGGCGGTGAAGCACCAGTGTGTGGGCTGTGGAAGCCGGTCCACTCCCACAGCAGGGCAGGCAGCTCCTGGCCCTTCCTGGCCTGGGAAGAATCCTTGTGTGACCGTTTCACACTGCGCTCCCTGGCTTCGTATGGAGTGTACCTGTTGAGGTATCTGCACTGGTCCCACCACATTTTCTTGGGGTAAGACTTCTCTGGAAGCCTGCGATGCTCCCTGCCAGAGGAGCAGTCTGGGCTCCAGTCCTGCTGAGCCCCACTCCAGGTTTGGGAGTGGTGGGAGCTGTATCTGCTCAGAACACAGGGCTTCCCGGGACTGACTCTGTCTCCACAACACAGAGGGTGCTGGTTGGCACTGCAGTGCTGCACAGCATGGCACTCCAGCTTGTTGTGCTTTCTCGCGTAGCAGAGCCACTTTCTGTCACAGTTACCCTCAGTTCTGCTCCTGCTCCTGCTCCTGCTCCTGCTCCTGCTCCTGCTCCTGCTCCTGCTCCTGCTCCTGCTCCTGCTCCGGCTCCGGCTCCGGCTCCGGCTCCGGCTCCTGCTCCGGCTCCGGCTCCCGCTCCGCCTCCGGCTCTGGCTTCTATCCCTGCTTTTCTTTACATCTTCCCCAGTGGAGGAACAGTCGTGACGGTAATGGTAACCTTCATGGTCACATCGCGTACGGCTGCTTATTTTTTGTGTACGGTGGTCAGGAACCTTCTGCACAACCTGAACTTCACTGCACCCCTTGGCATGGCTGTGCGCAGGGTCCCCTTCAGGATGGGTGCCTGGGGTACTCTGTGGCTGAGTAGAAGGCAGTGCATTGGCACATTCTCCTATATTCTGGGTCTCAGCCCCTGTGTCACCACACTGATCTCCCCTGAGGGAAACCAAGGGCCCGGGCTCACATCTGCCTTCTGACTGTGTGAAGGGAGCCGGGCTCAGCTGCTCCACTGTCCCGGCTAGTCCAGAGTGCTGCAGGCTCTCAGGTAACCCGTTCACCTTGCTGCAGTCCTGTGTTACCTTCCCAGCATCACAGGGCTCATAAAGTGGGTCTGCACCCGTGCTTGTCTGGTTCTTGTTGCAAAGTTTCTTTACAAAGGGCAAAGACACATCAGTTATGGCTGAGCTGGTTTCTGACATCACATCTCTCATGGATTTGAGGCTGATTTCCGGGGTCAGCAAAAGTTTCTTAAACATTTCACACAGACTTGCAATCGGGTCCACTTCATCATGGGAACCAGCAGAAACACTGACAGCCTCAAGTTCTGCAGTCAGGTCCCCAAACAGACTTTGCTCCATTCCAGGAACACTGCATCCCGCCAAAAGAAAGAGACAAGCCAATAGTTAGCAGGATGCTCTACATGCATTGTCATGGCTTTCATTCAGTAAATATTTTTTCACTTTAAATATAGCTACTTTAGGTATATTTAGCTACCTTATGGACAGTATCAGGCTACCACTTCTGGACACCAACCAAAATTTACATCAAGCCTACCCGGTTTTCAACAACAATAATTCTGCAGCTCTGCACATTGCTTGTTTCCAGATGTACTTCTAATTCTCAAGAACTAAGTCATTAGTTGATGACTTTCCTGCCTCCCTTCTTTCTCTTGGAAGCTCAGAGGTGAGGTAGCTATTTCCAAACAGAGCCAACAACTCCTTAAATTAAGGAAAACTAAGGGACTCATTGAGGCTCTCCACAGCTCTGGAAACAGTGCAACCCCTACCGTGATCTCCACTCTCCACTTAGGAGATCACTCCTACAGCCCTGAGGGCAAGGTAGTAGCCCTGAGTGTAGCAGGGGACTTTTGAGGCTGCAAATCAAAGCACATGTGCTTGGCCACAATGCATGCATGGCCTCACTTAAGTGTATACACACAAATTCTCTTGCACATTCATTTTGAGCAGCAAGGTGAATTAGGAAAGAAACAAGGGCAAAGTCATTGTGCAAATGCAGGGCACCCAGCTATTCTATCTGAAGGCAAAGGGGGATGGAGTGTGCTCTGCCTCTCCATTCTTCTTTAATAATGCCACATCCCTAACATAGGGTCTTGGGGGCCATCTGGGGTGCTCACAGTGCCATGGAGGTGGCTATTCCCTGACATGTCCTCACATCTATTGGGGTGAAACCCCAGGTTATACTATTGTTACCATTTCTTTTTTTTATTTAAAGACAAAAAAAGACATGACATAAAAAACAAAGCAGTAAAAGGGTACAAGTAATACAGAATTTCAAAAACAAATGTACAGTAAGAAATCACTGGTAAATGGGTACATACTGTCTTCTTAGAAACAGTTGTCCAAATTACAAAATTAAAGCATATAAAGTGGACATTCACAGAGTGAAATTGGAGACAGTTCCGTTCCATGATCCAACAAAAGCTCCGTAATATCGTTTTCCATCCTACACACTCAAACATTTCCGTAGACATTACCCTTCCCAGGAAGTAAAGGATTGTGTAAAATGAGAAATGGTCACAGTGTGAAGTGGCTGAAGCTTCCCCAAAGTGGCTCACAGCCCAGTGGTGCCGATGGCAACTCTGGATGCAGTGTTCATGCTGAATGATCACAGGGTGCACCTGCAGGTGCTCAGGTATCTGCCCACTGATACACTGTGTCCTGCAGCTTTGGTTCATCTGCAGATTCCACATGAAGCAACCACAGCTTCACTCCATATTCCTTTCCTCTTATTCCTGAGTTGTGTTACAGCTATGTCAGCACACTGACTTGTTTTTAAAAATTGAATGTAGGTCAGCCTGCCGAGAACCAGCTCAATAGGGAGTCAGCACCAGCCCTTGCCCCTGCACACTCCAGCAGCCCTTGGGATGCTCCCAACCCAGGGAGAAAGCATGACTGGGGAAAAGCAGCAGCAGGACCTGTACCAGCACACCCTGTGGCCACAGCAGTCGGGAGAATCCAGGAGAATCAAACTTGCACACTTTGGGGAAATTGTAGCCAATGCAGGAAGGGCCTGGGACACCACTACCCGCTTGTTTGGAAGAACCCAAGAAAGTGTCAAGATGAAGAAGCAAAAGGCATCCCGTGGACTCAAACCAAGCAGAGCAAGTCTAGAAGAGAAAAACATGGGAGAGATCGGGAGTTGCGCGTCTGAAGTTTCTAAAGAGATGGCAAGTGAATTAAAGAGACAACTTCAGGAGGCTCTAAAACAAATTAGTGAACAGAAATACTATCTCAGGTAAAAGATGAAATGAAACGCATGATAAAAGAGTTGCTAAACGTCTCTAAAAAACGCATAGATTTAAAAAGGGAAGTGCATAGGAAACAGAGAGAAACCTTTAATGAACAAACTAGGACAGATTTAGAATGCACGAAACAGATTCAGAGAGTTATCCAGGAAATTAAAACTTCCATTGAAATCTGGTAAAACTGCTTGAAAGAAACAGAAGATAGACTTTCAGACCTTGAAGACAGGTGTGGAGGTTGCCATAGTAAGGGAAAAATCTCTTAAAAATAATAGCAGGAAATAACAATTCAATGATTTCATGATGATGCAAAGCAAAATGATTTAAGAATACTAGGTGTCACTGAGAAAGCAGGGGTCAACACAAAATGCCATTTATGGAAGTAGGAGCAGAAAACTTCCCCAACATGGGGAAAGAATGTGACATACAGATAAGGCATATGGAACACCAGCTAGCCATAACCAAAATAAATCTCCACATATAATACATATAATAATCAGGATTCCAAAATTTCAGCACAAGAGCACAATATGAAAAGCTGCATGAAAAAGAAACAGATCACCTATAAAAAACCCATCACATTCATGACAGACTTCGCAACACAAACCAACAAGTCAAGAAGAACTTGGAGTGAAGCATTTCCAGTCCTGAAAGAAAACAGCTTCCAGCACAAATCAATGTAGCCTGGAAAAGTTTTTTCTAAACTAATGGAGAAGCAAGATACTTCCATGACAAAGAACTGAAGGAATTCATAGCCACCCAACCAACCCTGCGAAGAATACTAAAGCACATGTTAGTGAGAGATAATAAGACCAGAATTCCAGAAAGAGCATCAGAAGGGGACCATGGATTGGGGAACTCAGTTGAAAGGAGGGAAAAGTAGGCAGCCAGTGGCAGGAAAATAGCACAGCAGAGACCAGCCAGTGGATGGAGGCCATAACATTAATGTAGATGGCTCCATTCACCAATAAAAAGAAACACAGGCCGAGTGGATGAGGGGATAAGACCCATTACTGCGCTTTATTCAAGAAACACATTGAACTCAAAAGGAAATTCATAGACTGATAGTCTAAGGAGAGAAAAGTGCTCTATATGACAGGGAATCAGAAAAAAAGTAGGGGTCTCTTGCCCATCAGCTGTAGAAAGGATAGGAGAGAGGTGGCATTTCTACACAATGGAAAGCTACTCAGCTAGAAAGAAAGATAACCTTGAGGCTCTTGTGGGTAAAGGAATACAACATGAGATCATGCTCATGGTGAAATGATTCAGAGTCACAAGAGGGAACATCATGCTCTCTCCCTAGTATAAAAACTAAAGCAGTTGATGGGATCCAAAATGCACAATAGATGTTGTGAAGGTGAAAGGGGAAGAGGTGTCTACAGGGGGAAGGCTGTGGCCATTGTTAATCTAAACCCTGTTTCATACCCTGTATTGTTCTTTTTCTGTTAAGCTTGGTTTTATGGATTTGTTTTGCTTGATTTTATCTTACTTGATGGCATGAATGTCTATTTCTGAAGTAACAAAAGGTAGTATGATGGTAGCCATTATGGATTTCCTATTATCTTATTTGGAGCAATGTATTGCTTGATTTGATTTTTTTTTGAAGTGATTTTTTGTTTTGATTTTGTTGTGTTTGATTTTATTATGTCTGATGGTGTAAGCAGCTACTCTGAAGATATCAAGATACTTTATCGTAGCCACTGTTTTATTCCAATTGTGTTGCCCTGAAGTCCCCTATGACTTTCATTGTTTTGTTTTGATTAGTTTTATTTTGCTGTTTTATTTGATTTGATTATGCCTGATGGTATGGCAGTTATTTTGAAGATAACAAGAGGCATTATGGTAGCCATTTCCTTTTATCTTGACAAGAAGCCTCGTATCGTGTTCATTGTTTTGTTTTGATTGATACTTCTATTTTGTTTGTTTGATTTCATTATGTCTGATGGTAAAAACAGCTACATTTTAGAAAAGAAGAAGCATTATGGTAGCCACTGTTGTACTCCTGCAGTCTTGTTTTGTAGGCCTGTATTGCTTTCATTGCTTTGTTTTGATTGGTTTTATTTGGTTCTGTTTTATTGGATTTTATTGTGCCTAATGTTACAGGAAGTTATTTTGGAGATAGTAAGCAGCATCGTGGTAGACAGTTGGTTTCCTTTTACCTTGTTTTGAAGTCTTATATCATCTTCATTGTTTCGTCTTGATTGTCTATTCTATTTTATTTCTTTCAGTTTTGTTTTCTTAAAAATAAAAACATTGAATGTGGGAACAATTGTATTCTCTATAAACTTAATTTCAGATTTCTACGCAGGCCCTCATAGGGTATTGTGGACTCTCAGAGGGTCTGTAAACTCACCGGTTTGGAACAGAAGTAGAAGCTTGAACAGGCCTAGGCCTGTTCACCTTGGGATTTCCACCAGGACTCCACGTGGAACTACTTGATGTGTCTATTGGTGCCCTGATCCTGTTCCAGTAAGGCAGATTCTGCAAGGGAGAAAGCCAGAGCCAGGTCAGCACCCAGCCTACGGCCTTCCCACGTTGGTCTTGTGACTGACAAATTACACAAAATCACAACCACCACCCTTTTCTTGCATCTGCTCTACCCACAGGCACCAATCACAGGCCCTAATTTTAAACTAATTCACACACAGGACATATATGTCTCCCAGAACACCATCCCGGGACCATATTCTTTCTGGGTCCTTCTAGGCATGGGTTCATGTATGCTCTCCTTGGCTGGCATTCCTAGGAGGTCACCACTGTACAGACAGAAGTCACAGAAGCAAGAATTGCAATTGGTTTCCAAACAAAGGAGAAAGTCACATGGGCATGGAGCAAAGGCTGCTTTGGGCTCTGCATGTGGGTTTGTGACAGCTGGGTGTCACCTGTTGAGGTGTCAGCATTGTACTCATGCACTTCTACTGCTCTAGGTTCCAGTACTAGCCCTGGACCCTGTGACAACATAGGTGACGGCTGGTTCACTGGAAAATACTAGTTGACCTATTTGGTGTTTTCTTAATTTTCTAAAGTAGCTGCTGAATCAGCATGGTAAAACAAAAAAATACTTAATATGTTTTAAAAACCTCTTTAAAATGTCTATTGCACCTGTCCCTTTCCCACTGTGCATGCTTTCTGCTTTGTCAGTCCCCGGATGTGTCTCTGAAGCGCTGCCCAATTCAGCAGCGGGCCATCACAAACCTCATCATCACCCCAGCTCATAAAGGCCTTTAACTGAAATAGAGCCCAAAGTCTACTTAAAAAAGCGTTTAACCAGATAATCTCATGGTTCAAACCAAACTCAAACTGAGCTGCAAAACCTGACAGCAGCAATGACCTAGTGCAGTTCAAGCTGCAGAAGGCCTGGGCAGGGGTCCCCAATGGCTGCGCGCTGCGGACTGTCAGGTCCCTTGGGCACACAGACACGTGGGCATGATCACACGCTTGAGGACAGCACAGAGGAAAAATGGCTCATTCCTAAAATAGCTATGTGGATACAAAGTGTCCTTCTAATAGGATCAATTTTCTGAGGGCTAATGTGAGTTAAAAACTCAATATGACACCAGGTTAAAGCCCAGGTCCACAGTGGGTACCAACATTTAAATATGCTCATACCACGTGTACCTCTCCATCATCTTTGATGCTGAAATAACTGTACATTTCATGTTTTGAAATAAAAGACCTGAATATAGGATTTTGTTAAGAATTCCAGTTGTAGACAGGACATGGCAACTACTGCAGTGTTAGCCTGAGTGTTTAAGGACAGACTCTTAGAGTGAGGTAAAAATCAGAGGCCACATGTGAAGTATTACCCGTGTCATGTGAGATGGCAGCTGTGGTCCATTAAACCCTGGTGCAGCCTGCTCTTTGGTCGAGGTACACTGATGGGTGTCCGGGTGTGAAGAGAACTGACAGGGGTGGCAGGGGAAATGAGCAGTAACCTCACCTCCGTGCTTCACATCATAGGTCCTAGGGACAAAGAAAGAGAGGGCTTAGGAGGACAAAGGGCCTCTTGAGTAGGGACTGCTTTACAAACTCAGTCGCTCTGGAACACACGGATGGCAACGGCACTGCTTGTAAATCACACTGCACAGAGCCACAGGATGCACTGGCTGCAGTAGGGGTGTGGGTCACTGTTGGGGTGCGTAGTCCAGGTCACAAGGCCAGCGAGGTAAAGGAAACAGTATTTTCAAATGCTATTCTGAGGATGCTGCTATCAGATGCCTATTTTTCTGTCTGTATTTTTAATTAAAAATATGGAGTACTGCAGAAAACCTTGAGAGTGTATGGGAAAGCAGGAAACAAATGTATCGTCCTGTCCATACAGAAGGTTCCCCTTTCATTGGACAGATCATCTCCCCATCTGTTGTGCAACACCAGGATCTCATAACAAACTGCTTTCCCTCCTTGTACAGTCAGCACGTTCTCAAAGCATTAAAAAAGGGAGGGCTTTATAAAAAGCACTCAGCATGCGATGGGTGACACAGCAAGAAACGGTCTTTAAAAAAGGAAGAAATGAAAAAAGTCTCTCTTGAAAACTGCATAGTATTTCCACCCATCATTCTGCCATTGTTGAACACTTTAGGATATTTTTAACCGTAAGCCACCATATTTTCACAGGGGTACCTTGGGGGCTGTGGTGTGGCTCAGTCATAGTGCCTGCGTTCTCCTTTGACTGTGGTGGGATGAAAGAGGCAGGGGACACTGTGGAGGGCACAGCAGATATTTTCTAAAAGTGGAATTTGTAAGTTAGAGCCACATCAGAATCAACCAACTGCTTGTCCCAGCCCACACTAATACCTAACCAGCACTGTGCTCAGTGTTAGAGAGGTGCTGGGTGTGACCAGGCAGGGTACTCAGAGCTCCCTTCCTGAGCCCTCTGGCCACTTCACATGTTCAGGTAGCAGCATAAGCCACCCCACCATCTTAGTCACCACCTTTGTCTTCCTCTGCCTCTCTCAATTTTGAGTGCCAAGGGGCACTGAGCTACTTCCCGCTCTTAACCCGAGCTCATAAATGTCCTCCGGACTCTGGAGAGCATGCAAAAGGGTAAAACCTAAAAACTGGCTTTTAAAAAAATAACTCAAAAATGAATTGAATGTGGGTGAGTTGAAAAGCGATTACAGTACAGAAAAAGTGGCCGATTTTTCATTGACATTACCTGATATAAAAGAGTATATAGGCTTGCTGACTCAGCACAGATGAAATATCACTGGGTGATACCATGAAATCATTCATCTGGTACCACAGACCATTGCTTGCCTGCAAAAGACAGCCAGCAAGAGAGAAATGTTAGATTTGGTCAAGTTGACAAAGACACAGTGAGAAGGAGGAGGAAAAGAAGCATTCACACATGACTTGTAAACCTGCCAGCTTTCCCCCCAGAGAATGCTAGTGCTTGCTGTCTTACAGAGTCTATGTAAAAGCAAGAGCAAAATCCACACGACTTACTTTTACGTAGGAGAAGTAGTGGCCCACACAGCACTTAGATCCGGTGTGGACCAGCACTGCATACAAAGAATATTGCATGGCTTCTCCACTAGGCTGAGACATGTATGCTCTAATATTGAGATGTTCTGGGTATTTCACAATCTAAACAGAAATGGACAAAGGAGAAGAATGTCATTTCTAAAGGCACAGAATGCCATAGATGTTCAGGCACAGTGCCTGTACGGTGCCCCAGGAGACCCGCACTACATGGCACAGTGATTTTCCAGCAGAAACCCAGTGTGCTGAGTCACTTTTCAAAAGACAAGATAAACCTAAAGGACACCAGGTCTAAGGATAACTAAGGTATTCTCACAGTCTTTATTTTCATTAAACAATTTAAGGTGCATATTAAGTGAATTCCCCAAAAACATGATAGGTGATAGTCACAAAATGACAACTCTGGGCATTCAATACCAATTATTTTAGTTTTAATTAATTAATTAAGTAAGTAAGTAGCTTTGTTGACACAAGATCTTAATCTGTAGATCACACTGGCCTCAACCCTAGGCTGATCTTGAACTTGCAAAACCTCTCCTGCCTCAGATTCCCTAGTGCTGACATGTGACTCTATTCCAGACTCCTTCAAATAATTAAAGAATACGTTAGTTATTTCTCGTGTATTTCATTGCAATTTTGTTTGTTTGTTGAAATAAGACTTCACTCTGTAAGCCAGGATGGCTTTAAACTTGCTATATCATTCAATCTGGTCCCAAACTCCTAATCTTCCTGCTTTAACTTCCTGAGTGCACCATGGTCAGCCTTGGACATGAATTTTTGACCACTTTCAAACTTTAGCAAGTGGAAAGAAAATAGGAAAATTGAATATAAGTGAAAAATCAGAAAACAAGAACATAAACTTGGATGAAAGAGAGGGAAGATCTAGTGAGAAAGACTTCTTTGGACTTTCAGATTATACAAACTCTACCTGTGTACTTTCATTACCATGGATATCAAAGAATTGACTATGGATGCCTAATACAGATAAGAGTCACCAATTTTCTCAGCAGGCTTGACCTCAAGAGTATAGTAAAGACACACATAATCTTAAGCACACAAACCAAACCCTTTACTCAATTCTTTGATTTATTCCCCTGCTATCCAGTGCAAGAAAACTGTAGAAAGTAAATCATCAAAAGTGTGCAGTGAGGTCATTTGTAACCCTGAAAAGCTGCTGGCACTTAAATCTTGGCTCCACATAAAATGTTAATAACATTATCTACATACCTTGGCAATTTTACTACCGGTACAATTGGAGAACCGTTTCAGAGACAGTGTGAGAACATTAGATGGTCTGTGTATAGAAAGGCTCTTTGAAGCTGGAACCATACTGTTACACCTTGAAGTCAAGAGAAAAAAAGGCTTAAGATGTCTAATGTATGGATGGTTTTTTTGGTGCTCTAGAATTCTACTCATTATTTCTCTGAAATACTCTAATTTAAAGATTCAACTGGAGTGGCCAAATGAGGGACTGCCAGCCACACACCACCCCATCATACTTGCTACACTTGTAGCAGTTCTCTCCTTCTAGCTGTTCTGGCTTCACAAACTGAGCCAATGCCTCGTTAACACTGCGAACATCCTGGGAGGAAAAAGCATCAATGCCACATCTTCCCACACTGCCGGTGGCTTGTGTGAGAGACAGAGAGAGCAAGCAAGGAAGCAGAAGACACAGAAAATTAATGCAGCATTTAATGGGGGAATTATTGTTTCTATGGGCATGGTGTGGCTGTGTTGTCAGCTACTTTGGAGATTGAAGGCGGAGGATTGTAAGATTTGGTCCTGCTTGATCAATTCAGATTCAACCTCAAAATGATTTTTAAAATAGACTGGGAAACTGACTAAGGGCTAGAGGGCCTTGGGATTAACTTCCAAGGCCACAAAAAAAAAAAAAAAACTTTTCCCATTAGGATGATTACCCCCACCCCAATTAAAGTTTGCCATTGCAAGATCAAAACCAGATTGATTAACACTTACTAAGTGAAAAGTCAAAGAGTAATAAAGATTTACAACTTGACCACCACAAAAAGTATGAGATTTACCTGTATCTCCAATGTAACATCAAGATACAGATCAAAAGTGTCTGAAACGCCTCTGCAATTTAAACATTTCACTGAAATAAAAATAAAGTGAAAAAGATAATCAAAGTATAATCAATATGGCAGTCTCAGCTGTTTCCATACAAACAATTTAAAATGAAAGATAATTAAAACAGTATAATTTTTCTTCTGCTAGATTGGCAGACTAGTTAATCTTATCCACAGTGTATGAAAAAGACTCATGAATTTGGACCTTAGTATACTACTGGCTGAAATATAAACTTGTATGACCTCTTAGAATGACAAAATGCCAATATTAAAATTTAAAATATAACTTATGACTCAAATAATACTACTAAGAATTTATCACATGCACTTTTACTTATACATTGTAATGGTTGATACATTGGGTCACCTTGACAAGTTTCCGAGCTTCACTAAGCAACTCAGCAGATATGCATCCCACAGTGTAGAGGACATGCCCTAGTGCAGTTGCTTACACACTAGGATGCTATAATTGTCAATCCTTTGGATCAACTTGAGAAGTTTAAAATATTAACTAATAATCTAGCAGGGTCCATCATCCTCACTTTGCAAACATCCTCAGCCTGTGCAAGACATGGTCTGAAGCTACCTACACTTGCCCTAGGGCAGGTAGTTTGCATACAATACAGAGAAGCTTGCTCCCCCCAGTCTTTCTGCTCTTGCTTCTTTTGCCCTCTTCTGCCACCATGAACTGTTGCCTCCCTGCTGTGCCACTCAGCTTTGTTGCCAGCTGATAATGGACTGAAACATCTACAAATTATGAGCTACATAAATCTCTTCCCCTTTAACTTTAGATCTCAGGTATTTTGCTCAAAAATGAGAAGATAGTAAGACACACATAAAGCATGAGTGCTGTCAAGTAATGCACTGGTGATACAGAATAGAAACCTAAGTAACCATCCAAAGGAGAATAAAATAAATGACCACTATGGCAGGTATGAAGGAATCCGTTACTACTAAAGTTAAGACAAACACAAAATATTCTGTAATTGCCTCTCAGTTCCTCATGAATAAGGAACTACCAGAAGAACATAGTAGAAACTGACATAGGGGCAGCCACTGAAGAGGAAGGAGTCTATTTTCCCTTATTTCAATTATTGGCATTCTAATACCACATGCCTGTGTCACTTCATGGACTTGTGAATACAATCTTACCTCTTGATCTTAGATAGCCTCCAAATATCTGATAAATGAGGGTGGTGGCCTGAGTGTGTCTATCTAATCTGAAAAAGACAAAACAGTGATTTAAGAATTGTGCTAAATTATAGGTGCTATGACTAGACATTAAAGGGTGCATATTTATAAAACAACAAGCATGTACAAAAGGGAACAATTTAAAAATTAGTCTACATGGTACCCAGAGATCAGACCCGCCTGGTGGAACACAGTAAGTATCTGGAGAAGAGGATGGAAGGAACTAAATCGTGAAGGGACTTTGAAATCAAGCCAGAAATTAGATTCAGAAGCAAACCAGCAAGAGGCAGGCAGTCCCAGCGGCCTCGTCACCCGGTGTGGGATGTGAAGCAGGGAGGGAAGCAGAGTCTGCCATCATCCAGACCACGCAGGCCTGGACAGTGAGTGGAATGCACAGGGAGGTACCGGTACCAGGGGTGTGGACAGGGGCAGGGGGGTTAGGAACGTTACATAACTGTCTGGCCCATCTCTCTCTTGAGTCTGCATTTAGATTTCAGGAAGAAGCTAGAGGAACTGGTAACTAACAGAGAGGGAGAAACAGAGAAAAGAGGCAGGAAACATATTTATAAGGCTGTAGGTCAACAGAGAAAATGTCTGGCTCAATTAGAAAGAAGCAAATACTTTTAGATGGCCAAAGCATGCTGGCACTCGGAAGTTAAGTAATAGCAAAAACAGTATTCATTTACTAACACCTAGAATTTATCACCTTTAAATTGTGATGGTAAGCACATCTTTTTAAATTTTAGACATGGTAAATTATGCAAATCAGGTGGGGAACGGGCAATGTAAAGCCAAAAAGTAAAGTTTCCAACATAAAAGGCAAAATACGTGTGATAAGCCAGAGATGTAACCCGAAGAAATGACTTGCACTCACTCATAGCTGCCCTGTAAGCACGCTTCCTGCATAGCATCAAGAGTGTACTGAAGAAATTCGTGAGCATCTTCTTGGTTTCCAAACCGGAAGTGACTAGCTATACCTAGAAATATTAAGACAAGCCTTTATCATTACATATTAAATGCCTAGGCTTCAAAGTTACACTTTATGTTCCTTAGAAACTGCCAGACATCGTACTGAATAAGAAAGCAGCACTCACACAAACACTACGCACTCTCACCAAAGCCCACAGTATCAGCAGTTCCTGAGAGTCCAGGAGCAGCCACACGGTGAGTCTCGTGTCTTTACCAAGTTGACACAATTCATTTGAATAAAGTCAACCTCAGTTCTATTGACTCAAGTTCATCCAAAATGTGAGGTGAGTGCACCCATTGTGAATATGACACTCGAATCCATAAGAGACCCGATGCAGGACACACATATTCAACGTATATCCTGTACCAATGACCAAGAACAAGTTATATTCTCATTTCAGTCGTTCTCGATGACTAAACAGTTGCAAAAATGATTTATGATTTTCAAATTATAAAGAAGACATCAGCACAAATATACGAATAACAGAAAATCTATTATACCCTGAGTTTTGCATATGTATGAAAATATAGAAATATCCTCCAACTGAAATCATGTAAAATTGCTACTATTTCACCAGTTTGACTGACAAAAATAGCAATTCCACGATTCTACTGTATTTGTATACAAATGAACACATTCAGGACAATGACACTTTTCTAAAGACTAACAGTTGTTACTTATACCTGCTAAAAGTAAATATATAAATAATCAAACAAAAGCTGTTCTGGCATGGCACATGCTAGACCAGTGCTCTATCACTGAGCTGTCTCCAAAGCCCCAATATATTCTCTACCATTTCGATGCTACATGTGGAAGAGTGTAGTGGGGCAAGTTAAGTAAGAAGCAATTCTTCAGAGAAAAGTTTGCGAGTGATTGGACAGAATTGTAAATATGGTGAAGGTACAGAATTGTCTTGGAAGTGAATGACATAGAAAAATAAGAGAAGTGGGCTTGGGATTTAGCTCAGTTGTAAAAAATTTGCCTGCGTGTACAAAAAGGAGAAGAGAAGGAAAAGGAGGAGGAGGAAGAGAAGGAAGAGAAGGACAAGGACAAAAACAAGGAGGAGCAGCAGGAGGAGAAGATATTCAACACAGCAATCCGTATTCTTTTTATGTTTTTACCTTAAAGATTGTCTTTTTAAATTTGAGTGTTCATTGATAGCTTATCAATTGATAAAAATCGGTCCTACCTAAATTGTACCAGACTCCAGTATGATCTAAAGATTTCTGTACTGTTCAATCTGCATCACCAATAATGCCAAATCCCTTTTTAATATCTAATGTTTAGCACCTTTTAAGGCAAATGATTACAGTTAACCATTCCATGGTTATGCATCCCTATAATTACCAAGCTAGATGACAGATTAAGAGCCAAGAGTTTTTTTTTATTTCTATGCATTTTATTACAACTTAACTAATTACAAAGACAGAAAGGTTAATTTAAAAAGTACACAGAGCCTGGTGTGTTGGTATGAGCCTGTAATCCCAGGCTAATGAGCTAACTCCCTGGCCAACTGGGACTATCTTTATTTTGACAGTTCTTGTCACCTCGTATAAAACAGGATTAATTTACCAAATTAAAATCAATTACAAACCATTTAAAGAAATTTGTGGGCAAGTAGCAGAGACTACTCAGCACAGAAATCCAACTGAGAAATGGCTTCTATAAATGATTTTATTAACAAGCTGAGTTTTATATCATGTAAAATTTGATGATATTAAACTAAGGTCAGCATTGTATTTTTATATTTATATTTTTTAAATAGTTTATATAGTAAAATTATTACAAAACATGCACTACTAATTAAAGAGATAACCATATACAATGAAAGACATGTTGTTTGTTTTGTTATAAACTTTTGACTTTTTAAAAGTCATCTAGGCCACTATTACTAACTAAAAGTCAGGCATGACTGTGCATATCTGTAGTGCTAGCTACCTGGGAGGCTGATGTGTGCCATTCACTGGACTAGTGATATCAGCCCTCATCTCAGGAAAACACTAATTGCCAAGAAATACTTCCGCGATTGATACTTACCCTGCAGTTCACTGATCACAGCGATGGGCTTAATAGCATCCCCAGGATGACTGAGTGCCTGGATAATATGTGCCTGCATTATACACATCACACAAAATCCTCCTGCATGGCCTGAAAGATAGATAGCAATGCCTCATATTAGCAAAATGTGACTGGACAGTAAATCATACTTGAAGAGCACATTCCTGAGGTAAAATAAAAGTAGAAGCTGCTATGTGTTTGCATCGACCTGTCTACATTTAGTCCATTTAATTCTCTAAAGAACCCAAATACTAAGTATAGATAGGCTCTATGGGAAAAGTTCCGAGAGTTAAAAGTCTTTCCAAGGTCACACAATCAAAACAACTCATACTTTTCCCAGTTTCAAAGGCTGTGGTCTGACTGATTCTATACAAGTAAAAGAAGAATTTTTTTCCTGTGTTACCAGGAGTTTCAAAAGGTGAAAGAATGTCTGCCATAACAGGAGTTAGAAATTTCTACATAAATGTTCTTGCTTTCCTGAGCATAAATTGTGGCCCCAAAATGTTGTTCTTCTCAGTCTTTTAAAATGTAAAAAGACAACAAAATTATGGGCCAAGAAGAGAACCATAAAGTCTGCCTGCCCTTACCATGAGCCAAAAGCAGCTATGGGCAGAGAGGAGAACCAAGAAGTCACCCTATGCCTTGCTGTGAGCCAGCTGCCCTGTGGGCTAGGAGACAAGTAGAGACTCACCATCCCCTTGGGCGCAGTCAATTGATTTAGAAGAACACAGGCCAAGATGATAGCAATCAAAGTACAAAAACAAACTAATGTTTGTGTTGATTGATACTTTGGAGGCCTAAAGCCAGTAAGATGAGCATCTGTTTAGAGGATGACAATATACACTGTAGGAACTATGGGGGATCTCCTTCTGTCTTTTATTGAAAATTCAATATTGTTTTCACTGTTGTGTTTTGTTCCATTTTATGGTTTTCTTTCATTACTTTCAAAAAATCAATAATTGAAATAAAATTGCTAAAAACTGATTTCTAGGGGGCTGGAGATATAGCTCAGCAGCATAAGCACCTGCCTTGCAAGCAGGCGGTCATGAGTTCCATCCCCGGTACCATTAAAAAGGAAAAAAACAATTGTAAAACAAACAAAAAAAAAAACCAAAAAAACAAAAAAACAAAAAACTGATTTCTAGTTCATGCTATGTGCTCTTATGTGCAGCTAGCTGTCAGAGGCCAGGTACACTAAATATCCTACAAAAAACACTATATCTCCTTACAGGAAAAAATTATCTGGCCCCAAAAGACAATAGATTCTATTTACACAAAAGCTGTTCAGAACTTATCAAATAAAGCTTTAAAAACATTGAAAGGATCAAAATTATTTCTAGCTTTCTACACCCCATAGTATAGCTCAAAAGCATTTAAATAGACTTTCTTAGGTGAAAATATACTCAAGGGGATTAATACCAAATTAGACGTTATAGAACAAAACATTAGTGAATTTGAAGACACTCATTATGAATAGAAAGTAGCCTATTACACTGGCTGTCTTGGTTACTTTTCTCTCATTGTTAAGACAAAATACCTGACACCCAAAGTGAAGCAAACAAAGGTATATTTAGCATACATTTTTTGGAGGTTTCAGTCCATACTCACCTGGCTCCAAAGCAGGGTGGTGTGGCTGAGGAGCAGCTGTTCGTGGTGGCCACAAGCGACAAGAATGAAAGAGCAAAAGTGGGAGGCATGACTCTTTCCCTCCCTTATATTGTATGCTGGCTACCCACCACTGGTCGGTTCAACACTCACACCACCAATTCCCACCCTGCACAGTGAACCAATCACAAACGCTAGATTCAGTCACCTCCATTCCTGCATGAAGTTTGGGGGGGGGGTGGCATGTAAACAAATCAGAAGAATGGTTAACTCCTATCCATAGTAACACACAAAGAGGGAAAAGAAACCTTAAAATAACTATAATAAAAGGGAAGTGTATCAGTGAGCTGAGGGACAGTATCAAGTTGCCCATGATATGCACTTAACTGAAGTATGAAAGTAACGGAATGGAACAAATACATCAAGAAATAATTATCGACAAAAGCACAGTACAAGGAACATTTTTAAGTACAAGTCATGAAATGATTGTATATTCTGAGAGACAAGAGGTGGTGGTTTACCTAAATATGATACATGTGTTTAAATTTAAAGAACGTTGCACACAAAAAGTTTATTTTATTCTAGGAAGTATTGGCTATTTTCTAAAAGTCCAAAAGTTGTTCCAATTTCATGGAAACAGTACGTATACATTTTTTAAAACCTCAAGAAACTCCAAGTAGAACTGCTCAAGACAAGTGATAAAGACTTGAAAACAACTAGAAAAAAAAGCATTCCATATATAGACAGGAAGAATGGGAAACTGATGACAGACTTCTTGTCAGAAACAGCACAGTCCTTCAGTTCATGCAATAACATCTTTCAAGTATTAAAAAATAATAATAAGACTTCAACATCTTTCACAAAGGTGAGATTTGCACATCTGGGGATATGAAACAGGAGTAGTTTCTCCTGTTCTTCCTGCCAAATATGACGACAAAAACATCCTTGGAATTGGAAATGTGTTTTTAACGAATACATAAAGACTCTGAGAAGCACAGAGAAAGAGACACACACTGGGGACCTTGGGACACTGGCAAGCCATGATAGTGGTTTCTCTAGGTTTCTTTGTGTCTCCAATACTGCAGACTTGGAGCTGAAGTAGACACCAACAGAAAAACACCAACAAATGCACAGAACAAAGCCTGTTCCATCCAAGCAAATGAGCAGAGACAGCCTAGCCTTGTATAAATGGGAAGACAACTTTAGAAAACATTCTGAACCATCTCCTGTGTGTGTGTACACCTTCTCCCCAAATATTATGATAAAAATAATAGTCTTTGGGCACACCTTTAAAATCCTTTCTGGCTAGGAAGACCCTCCCTCTCCCAATTTCTAGAGACAAGGAATGGCTCAGACAGGAGTGTACCCTTGCTCAGCAAACTCAACAGTCCAAAAAATGTCCCTTTCTGTCTGGCCTGTCTACACAGGCGGCAGCATTATGCCGCAGTAATCATCCCATGATGAGGTCCAAGGCAAGTAAGGACCTTGCCTGCAGCTTGGAGCCCACTGAAACTATTCGAATGGGCCAGTGCAAAGATTCACCCTGCCCTGCTTTGTCTTGCCTGTGGAAACCTCAGTGTATGTTCTGCTCTAATGCTTTCCCCTCTCATTCCTGTCTTCTACCTCGTGACCACTCCGGTGTCTTTCCCAGGTACCCCTATGCAGCAAGCCAAGCCTCCAGTATTCAGGACCCATAAATAAACTAAAATGCATTTTTCTTAAGCCTCTCCTAAAGCTGTTCCTACCTGAACATTATGTAAAAGACCAGGCACATTATCCAGAGCAACTATGACTCCACCTCTACCATCACCTGCAGATGCCAAGTGCAGAGCCTGGACTCACTTGCCAGGCTCTGAGGCACTCAGCCCACTCCCCAGGACAGATCTATGGGAAGTGGACTAGGAGCTGGAGCTTTCCTCAAAGTGGGTTTAGTCCCCCCCCCTCACATGCAGGTGAAGCCCCATGAGCCTGCACATCCATCCCCAGCCAGTAACACATAGGTGCCCCCTCTTACCCTACCCCTCAGGGTTAAATAGTTCAAAGCTACTCCCACGGCAGGATCAGTGGGGACCCTGCAGAGGTACAATTCCCCACCCTCACCTCACAGCATCAGGGACCCCAAGCCCCACTCAGCCAATGGAAGCTGAAAGGAGAACCTGGATTTGGCCTCAGCCTACCCTCCCTTCCTGGGCCTGAGCAGTGTCAGGAAAGCTGGATAAAGCATAGCTTACAGAGGACCTGGGGCCCCCTATTGTAGTGTGAAGAACCCCAGGTTTCAAATAAAAAATCCTTCATAAAGAACAAAAAATTCCGCAAACAAAAATTATAAAACTTCCTGACCTGACTCTAAGTGTAAGTAGGAAATATATTTAAAACAACTATAACATAAGAGAAAGTAAAAGGGACAAAAAGAGACAATGTTTCTAAATAACACTCAAGCTCATAACATGATAATACCAGAAGACCAATAAATTATGTATTTTATATATATATATATATATATATATATATATATATATGGTCATACATAGAGTAGCAGAAGCAGATATACTCTAAAAAACCATGTAAATAAAAATGGAATTCTAAAAATTGTCAAGTAACCGAAACAGAACAAAAGAGAAGAAGAAAGGAAGGAAAAGAAAAGGAGAACAAATAATAAAACAGAACATAAAGTGGCACACTGAGCCTTGGTGTACCAGTGATCATATTAACTCTAATGTCTACATAAACTGGTTAATTAGACATGCGCGGTATGCACACATGTAATTTCAGGACTCTGGGTGGCTGCACCAGAAGGACCACAAATCTGCGACAAGCCTAGAAAATTTAGCAAGACCCTGTTTCAAAATAAAAAGTGAAAAGCAGGCTGGGTATATAGCTTAGTGCAAAGGCTGTGGGTTCAACTTAAAAATTAAATTAACAAATAAAGAAATGGCACAGATTGACAAAACAGTCAAAGATTTAAAAACATATGATCTACCACATGCTGTCTATAACTCACCAAACTCAAATGTCATGCTACAGGTAAGCTAAGGATCAAAGGGTGGAAAAGAAACAGTATGTCTCTATTACTCAAAAATGTCTATGTTACTATCAGATAAAGATGGACTACAGACCAAAAGCACTGGATTCAATATCCAACACTGAATAAATAAATAAATACTGACACAAATAGACACAATGGAGAAACAGAGGGCAATTCATATTTTACACAAATAATGCTTTCTCTATTTATGTAGCAATGCATTGAGACAACAGCAATCCTGCAAGATGTGGTTGCACATGCCTGTGATTCCAGTGAACTGGGAAGCTGAGGCAGGAGAATTACAAATTCAAGCCCATTCTGAGACAGAGATAGAGACAAAGACCAATTTTATATGTGTTTATACAAACAACACTGCTGAAAACTGCATGAATCAAACTCAAACGTGAGAGGTGACAGAGGAACACCTACATTTAGAGATGGAAACCTCAACATCTTCCTGTCAGTGACTCCCTGAATAATTCAACAGAAAATCACAAAGCATACTGAAAAATTCAACAATATTCTCAGTCACGACACCAAATCAATAACCATTTACAGAACACTGCATCCACGAAGAACAGACTTTGTTTTAGAGAAATCAGAAAACTTAAGTCTTCTCCAATCACAATGGAATCAATACTAAACATCACGAAAAGAAAGATCATCTCCACGTAACTGGAAACTGAAGACATTTCATCCACAAATCAAAGAATAAATAAAGGGAAGTGGAAACATACACTACGTGGAATAAAAATAAACTGGGGGGCACAAAACCAGGCTGAGGGGAATTTACAACAATTACTAAAATCAGGAATGAAACTGGGGATACTATTATAACACAAGCCTTAAAACATTGAAAGGATAATAAATACTATAGAAATTTTCACACATAAATTTAGAAGAAATGGATCGATTTCTCAAAAAAGTAACTACCACAATTCGCCCATTGTAACTGATTTTTCTGCCCTGTAGTGTAATGATGGAGCCCTCAAATGCTAAGAGGAAAGCTCTGTGTAAACTCCACTAGACTGGGGCAGTGGTGAAAGGTCTTCTCTTTGCCTGAAGATGCATGAAGCTTTCCAGTGAATGGCAGAGTGGCAGGATCTGATCCTTTGCCCCAACTGTTAATGTCAGACAGTGGGTGACATTGCCAACTAAGGGAAGAGCTAGAGGTGGAGCTCAGGGGTAGAGCATCTGCCTGACATGCTGATCCCCAGCACAAGAGAAACAAAAACATTTTTACAAGTGTAGAAAACTTCAGAGGAGATTAGAAAAGCCAAGTAATGATAAAATAAGGTTTTTCTGAACACCATCCCCATGGACGATAGTTATAGTTCAGAGGCATAAGCACCTGGCTGACAAGCACAAGGTCCTAAGTTTGATTCCCAGTACTAAAATAAATAAACACCCAACCCAGCTCAAATCACATACAAAATGCTTCTTATGTGGCCTAACTAAAAATCCTAGACTCTAAAGGATAAACCAACTCTTTTTTTTTGTTTGTTTTGTTTTGTTTTTTGGCACTCTAGGGATTGAACTCAGGACCACTGAGCTAAATCCCGAGCCCTACCAACTTCTTATTGATTACATAACAACTTAATCCATCTCATTTCTGAGGAAAAAATGACTAGCTTAGCATGCCACATTCACATAACACCACAGCATACAGCACTTACATGTCTTGGTGTGTTCACGTGATAACATGTAATTGGCGAGAGGTGGCGTGTACGTCAAACACTGCAGGGCCGCATTGACAAAACAGGTGTTACCCAGATTCTGAAGCCCAGCGCCAACTCTGTGACTTTGCTGCCACTTAAGACAAATCTTCTCTGGCGGAAAAAGAATTTTCTGTGGTGGAGGAATGCCATCACCTAGGGATACAGCAACAAACAGCAAACATTATAAAACAAAATTGGCATGCTTCTAAACTCAAAGAAATAGTGATTCCTTATCAAACTTCTAAATCTCATTTCAAGGCAAACAGGGATACTTTAAAAAGACGCAACCTAGAAAATGAGAAGCTAAACGATTTAATTGCTTCAATAAATAAATTAAAAACACAAGAAATGGGTACACTTCCCAATTAGAAGACATTTCATAGACATACCCACACATGCAAAGTGCAGACTCCACGAGGATGTTGCTTTCAGTGACTGAGTACTGAAAACAAACTCTGCAGCTCTGCATGATAGTGCACCCCTGTAACTCCAGCTACTCAAGAGAGTGAAGCAGGAGGATTGCAAGTTTTAGGCCAGTGTGGACATTTTATTGAGTTAGCAAGATCCTGTCTGAAAATAAAGTAAAAATAAAAATAAAAATACCTCAGGACTTCCCAGGTATAATCCGTGGTAATCTAGTACTGAAAACAAATTAACTAGATTTTTAAAATTATTATTATTTCTTAAAAATAATCCTATGTGTATACAAACTAAAACTGTTATAAATTAAATATGAAATATTGGACTTTTGGTTTCAGTATTGGGGACTGAACACTTGACTTTGTGCTTCCCAGGCAGGCGACTATGCCCCTAAGCTAAATCCCTGGCCCCATATTGGACTTCTTTACAATACTGCATACAGGGTCAGCGGGTGAGTTGGCCATACGTTAATAAATGTCAAAACTGGGAGAAAACTTCATGACAGTTCATTAGAATGACTTTTTATCGCTGCTTAACACAATCAGTACAATACACAAGATACACCAACACCCTGGGACACTGGTCTTGGATGCTTGCATTCCGTGCCACCACCATTCCTACCATCATGTCACTGAGCCTTCCCTGGAATCTCATGTTTTAGTTCTGAAGGTTGCTATGACAAAGAAACAACTTACCACACTAGGAAAATTCAAAATCACCAGGATAACTGGTTTCTCAGTGCTAATGAAGGCAAAGATGGCCTAGAGGTTGCTCTCTACCTGAAGTGATGTTAATGATTATTTAAGTAGGCCATGGCTTGAGAGGGAATAGAGAACAAAATTCGGAAAGGAAAAATGAGTCTGTTGAGAACAACATAAGGGTCCTAAAAAGGGGGAGTGTGAAGAGAGAAAGGGAAGCCCCAGCAATATGACAAGTGTGAAAGCCTTGCAGAAAAATGTCCTGTGGGAAAGTCTTGATGGCAAAGCTCAAGGCCTTGAAGTTCTACGTTTAACTTCAGATTAAGTTGTCTTCTGAGTTGTAAGCCTCCCCTCGTACACAGTCAGAACACCTTGAACAAACCACAGCACACATCCCCACACCACAATATCAAGGTTACTAGAGGACTCTAAACAAGACAAGGATCAAATTATCCTAAGCTGGACAACATTCCAATTATGAACTAATTCTACTGTTGCTTTTCTTTGCATTTCAAACTGTCAGGGCTTTCAGGCTGAAAAGTACCCATTGAAAGAGCCAATGTTTCATTATCTGGATAAATTTTAACAAACATAACTGTGTTTAACTTATCTGCTCTTTTCCAAAGAAAGACACTGTACCTACCTAGGGAGCGTAATAACTACTGGTTAACTGAAAACATAAGAAAACTTACTCACCTCCGCTCTCCTGAACATAGTTTACCCTTTAAAAATTAGGAATAAAACCAATGATACATATCTGAATAACTAAAATTAGTACCTTGCTGTGATACCTATGCTAATAAGGAATGCTTACATGTTAGAGGAAAATAATTTCTACCTTCGAATGCTAGTCATCCATGTGGGAATCTCTCTCACACAACAAGAGACTCTCTGAAACTACCAACTGCCTGCGGCATTTATACAAAAGTTTCTGGAAGTGATTTTTCAATATTTTTAGCAAACAGTAACTTCCTTGGTCCTTTGGTGGTGATAGCTCTGACTTACCAGCAACAGTGGACTCTGAATAAACAGCACCCAGTACCGGTCCTAAAGAAAGTGTGTGAATGGAAACATCACTCAGTGATGAAGACTCAGCGCTCTGGTCAGCAGAGCCTGCACCCAGGTCTGCAGTGCTGGCTGCTGCAGAATGGCCGCGCTGATTCCAATGGTCCGACGAGTCTGAAGAGTCAGCTCTGTCCACAAAGGTCATCGCTCAACTCTGCAAAAGTCTAAAAGCGTACATTTCTCTCCTAAAGTAAATGTATTGTACTCACCCTTGACATTAGATTTTTGAATATTTTCTAGCCATTTTATATTAGTTTCAAACAAATTATCCAAGTATAAAAAGACTAGTACTTTCTCTCTTCTTTTCTTTTTCCCAAGCCCTAGAGATTAAACCTAGGGTCTCACTCAACCACTGAACAATATCCTCAGCCTCAACATTATAAGTTTACTTATAATTTTGAAGAAAAATGTCTTGACTACATGAAGAGGAAAATGAACATTGCTTCTGAAATTAAATTCCAGCTTAAGAACAGGGCGTGGGCTGAGGATTTAGCTCAGCGGCATAAGCACCTGCCTTGCAAGCAGGCGGTTGTGAGTTCGATCCCCAGTACCGATAAAAATGAAAAAAGACAAAAAAAAAAAAAAAAAAACAGAACAGGGCGTGATGGTGCACATCAATAATAGAAGCCACAAGGAAGTTGGGTCAGGAAAATCTCAAGTCTGAAGCCACCCTGAGCTTCATAAGGAGTTCAAGGCCAGCCTGGACTAGGTAGCAAGACCCTGTGTCAAAATAAAGGACAAAGCAGCATTACATGAAAAGCATAGCAGTCTAAAGAAATGATGATTCTCGAAAGTCTTATCTTTCAAACACACATGTTTGTCTCTGAATCAAATTTCAACACAAATACATGTTCCAAAGTACTTAATTGCAGTTTTCTCTCTGATACGGTGTAAAAGTTACTGAGTATTACTCAGCTAGCATTGCAATAATTGATGGACAAACATTAACTTTCATAGGAAACCACAAAGAGCAGACAATAATCCACAGGATCTACAGTGAGGTGATTATAGCACAAATCAGTCAGCAACTGAGAACAGGAGCAACCAGGCCTCCTCCTAGCTCGACCACCTATGCAACAGAGCACTTTTAGTGATGCCTCAATAATTGCCCAGCAGCCAAATCCAGGTGTGCTGTTACCCACAGAAAACCCTTCAGGAGTGCCCTTGCAGCCACGCACAGCGCCTACTCCTAACACTCAGAGCTAGTAACCACGCCTTCTCCTAACACTCTGAGCTGGTGGTAACCTCCGATGCTTCCCAGGTTACATTCCCACCATACTGAGTCCCTATTTAGTCCCAGCTCTCCATGGACCATGCACATGCTACTCTTTCTTACCTGCTTTCCTTCCTGTCCTTCAGCCACCAGCTCATAAACATTTCTACTCGGTTTCCAATTTATCTTTTCTAACCAGGGATTTAACTAAGCAGCATAAGCGCCTGCCTTGCAAAAATTCTGTCCTCAGATTGATCCCCAGTTTAAAAAAGGTATTCCCCTCCCTGGGACACTTTCCTGCACTACTCCTTTCCCCTAAGGTTGAGATAGAAAGCTCTCCTCAAAGCTTGTCCTCCCCTCCCCGCAGCTGGCTGATTCCTATGGCGGCTCCTCAGCATTTACTCTGTAGCTCTTTTACCTGATGACAACCAAGTCAAAATATCTTTAAGGCAGGCTCTAATCCAGTGATGGTTTTTTCCAAGGGGAAGGGAAATTGGACACAGGACCACAGGGGGCAAATCCATGTGAAGATCAAGAAAGAAGTCAAAGTGAGCCATCTCTGGGTTTGAGTGTGTCAATGGTGATCATTAGTTTCCATCTTTATGTTGTTTAGACATCTCCAGCAATGTGTTCGCCTGGGAGAAATTCTCTCTCCTCTGCGAAGCTGATTTCTGGCTAGTAAAGGCCCACTCAAAACACGAGTTTCCTATAAAAACCAACCCTGTGTCTGATCTCAATGACTTATTTATCTACCTATTTCTCTAATATTTACTCTGCTCTAAAACACCCGGGCCCAGGTGCAAACATCTAGAGACTGTCCAACACCCAAAGCCCAGTGAAATTATTGCAGCCTTCCATATGTAGCTCCCTGATCTTCCCTGACTTCTAACTCCTCCAGAATCCCATAAAAGTGATTCAGGTTCCCCACATTCACGTCTTCTGTCATGTAACACATACTAGGTGCTTCTGCTTGTTTCAGCCTGGTATGTGGAACCTCCTGTCTGACACCATGTGTTACAGAAAAGTCTTCCTCTCAATGCTCATTCTTGTCTTATCTTAATGAAACACAATCTCTCCTGATCCTATCTGTATGGTTAGACTCTTAGAACACTGTAGATTTCATAGAGCTAGGCTTGAGAGAAGAGGGAGAGAAGCCAAGTCACTGACCCAAGAAGTTAGTGAAAAAACCTGCAGATTCCAAAGAATTCCAGGGATGAAGGCACTGAGGGGACCCTGCTCAGTTAGATCAGAAGATCTCTGACCTAAGAGTAGGTATCCATCAGTGGTGATGGCAACAGAAATTCCTAGTAGCAAAGATGGGGAACTGTCACTGGGAAGAGTCATTTATGCCAGCTAACACTTGAGAGACGACTACCACCCTCCTCAATGTTCAGACAGGCCATTGACTACTCTCCACAGGACTATGGAGTCATGCCATGACTACCTTCTATTTCACAAGCTACAGGTGAATTGCATGGCTCAAAATCCAACGCTCGGTATACTTACAACACACATTCTTCACAGGGAAGGATTTTCTAAGAAAATGGACTCAGCCCTGGATATGGTTAAGGGGCTGGGTGTGTGCAGTTCTGGGTGGTGCAACTCCAGGTGCTGTGGCAGGGGGTAGGGGGCAATAGGTCCAGTTCATGTCAGGAGCTGAGCAATGGAAAGCTGTCACAGAGAGATAACTGGCTCTGTCCCCTTCAGGGGAAAACCACGGTTTGGTTAGAGGAGTATACTCTATAAAGAAGACCCAGTCCCACTGTTAAGTTAGCTATCATTTCCTTCTTTTGAATGCATTCGATCCCATTCACCAAGGCTTTTCCCCACTGATTGATACTTCCCCTTGGTCATCCTTGGCATCCTCTCTGAGACCTGTAAGTATCAAAAGTCTCCCTTCCAAGACTCTTTCTTGTCCCCTCCTAGACCTGCAGACTCCTTCTCATCCTGTCTCCAACCTCTACACTGGTAGAATGCTGCAGGTGCCACAGACTGGAGTGGTAAGAACACAGGGGAAAAGCTAAGCCAAGCGTCCGACTCACCTTCAGGAGTTGACGACAAAATCTGCACCTCCACGAGAACCTCCCTCTACAGGGAGACTCAAGGGGGTGGCCCCGCAGGGCCCTGACCACCAGGCTCACAGACCCTCTGACCTAGGATTGGCTGTTGGTCAGTGGTATGGCAGCAGTCACCTCCTAGGAGCAAAAGTGAAGGATGGTCATTAGCAAAAGATATGCGTGCCAGCTAACACTGGACAGATGAGGGTTTCCCCGGCCCCTCTCCTCGGTGTTTTGGACACGCCCTTTTCTGTTCTGCACAGAACAATGCAGTAGGCACCTCTAATACAGTATTTCACTTGTACAAGATAAATGTGAAGTAGATTTCACACAGTGTAGCAATTAGTGTCAAAGTGTAAGTTCTTTTCAGTACTCGGAGTGGGTGGAAGGATTTCCTAGGTAAATAGGCTCAGCCCTGAAAAATGTCGAAGGAGCAGAGTACAGATCCTGCTAGAATGAGCCCCCAGGTGCTGTGGGGAGATGTTGGTCAATGTGGAACTAACTCACCTCAGTAGCTGAGAAAACAGAAGTTACCAGTAAGAGAGGCCGTCAGGCAAGAACTATGCCTTGGGTCAAGATAGGTTACTCCTGTATGGAAAGAGAGCAGTGCAGGTTAGCTACTAGTGCATTTACTACTATTCCTTGTGAAATTACACTGAGTACCTATGTTACCTTTTGAGTTTTTTACATTAATAAAGAGACCTGCTATGATTCAGTGGTGAAGATGCTAAACTGACCACAGAATATCAGATTTGGAGAATTATGTTACATCATGTTATATTATCAGACTTTACTCAAAATACATTTTCATGTGGACCACAAACTAAAGATACAATGAAAATGTAAGAAATTTTTTATATGGCAACAAAACCATTAAATCTCCTGCTTTACTGTGGTATGTGCGTATTTAAATGGATACAAGATGAACACATGGATGGACATTAATACAATACATGCTAGACTAATATACATGAAGCTGCCTTCAGTGCAGAGGGAAGAAAAGGGGTCTTAGGGATTGACAAGTCACAGAGGGGCTGGAGGAATGTAGTCACAAAAGAACTATCTATGTGTTTTTATAGTAAAATTGAATTTTAAGGGTTGCCTTAAAATGACATCATTTTTTTTTTTGTTTTGTTTTTTTTCCTCTTTATCGGTACCGGGGATTGAAATCACGACTGCCCACTTACAAGGCAGGCGCATATGCCACTGAGCTAAATCCCAGCCCCTTAAAATGTCTTCATTTATTGATCATCCACTCTTATACATGGTATTTAAACACTTCCAGAAATTAAATTCATTATTAAGGTGTAAAGATTATGAGATATGAACACAAAACCTCCTCAGGGAAGGCTAAAGAGAATTTTGAAAGGAATTTTAAACATGACATCCTGCAATCCCAGTAGTCAGGAAGAAGAGGCAGGAGGATGGTCATGAGCTTAAGGCCAGGCTACACTACATAGTGAGTCCAAGGCCAGTCAGTACACAGTGAGACCCAGTCCCAGAATACAAAGGAAAAGAAAATAAAAAGAATATTTAGTAGGACTCTGTACTGTAGTATAAAACAAGGGAACTTTACAGAAGAAACCAAATGGGACCTGACCATGGTCTAGGGCTACATTACACATCACACATTCACACCTGCTGGACACTGAGAAGCACTAAGTTACAGCCCAGACATTTTCAAATATGCATCTGCATATTTTCACCCGAAGTATTCTGTAACATTCCATGTAAAATGCTGGTTACTAGGTAGAAGGACTAAATTTCTAGTTTATTTATAAGGATAAAATATGTTTTAGGAGACAGGGGTTCAGTACACAGTCCAGAATGCCCAGAACTCACTGTGAAGCAAAGGATTAACCTGAACCCCTAGTTCTTGAACCCCTGAACTACTACCTCTATCTCCTTTGGAGGCTTTTCACCTTACTAACCCTTGTGAAAGATTTATCAAAATATTTTACCTTATGGTTTTTCCACCTTATGTAAAATTATCTCAAGCTGGGGATGGTGTCCCACATGTGTTCTCTGAGCTATTCCAGAGGCACAGGCAGGAGAGTGGCAAGTTCTTGACCAGCCTGGGAAGGACATTGGGAGACCCCACCTCTTTGTCAAACAGAAGCAGCGCTGGCTGCATAGCTCAGGGAAAGAATGCCTCTAGGATTAATCCTCAGTAGCTCCCACAACCAAGGAAAAGTTTTAAATGTTTAAAAGAGGACAAAATGTCATAAAATGCATACTCTCACTATACAGATATTGAGGCCTCAAAAACAAGGTGTAAGTCTCGATGCTCAAATGGGAGCCCTCAACTCTCGTCATCAGTAACCACCAGAAATCACCATTAAAAGTATGTTAGTTCACTAAGATAAATCAAGAGCCAGGATTGGTTTGACTTATTCACTTTTGTGGATATAAAAGAGAAACTAGAAAGAGTTGTGCTCACCTCAACAGACCCTCAGCCTCTGAGACCGACAGTCGCTGTTAAGACGACTCTGGCAGTTGAGGAACCTCATGCCAGTGACAACACAAGTGTTGCTTGGCAGCCATGCAAATGAGCCAGTTTCTCACTCCCCATTGGCTAGGCCACTCCTCACTCTAACTACATGGTCGATATCTACTGTAACATGTGCCAACATTTTCCTCCAGTTGCTGAGGTGTAGCATTAGCTCTGTAACTTGGTGGTTCTGTTTAGTCCTGAGGTGATTCAAGGCTTCAAGTCATTTCTGGGTCCCAGTGGGGATGAGAGTCTTCCTGTTGGCAGATACAGCTCTCCCTACTGGGGACCATAAGACGTAAGGAGGAGCAGGAACAAGATGGAAGCCCAAGTCTTCTGAACTCATCTTGAAAGTCAAATACCTTGAAGTCTACTTACTACCATTTCCAAAACCATTTCATTACTAATCACAATGTACCTGCAGTGTACTCAGAACCCTTATTAGGGAGGAAGTAATCTGAGGCACTGCATGCAAAATGGAGTCTCAGTGCCACACAGGGATCATTTTGTTCATAGGAACAAGCAGTAGTGAAGGGCAAAAAAGCATTTCACTGGAGATATTATATACTAAAAAACACTACAGTATCCTCATCAATCAGGGCATTCATCCATTCAATGCAGACAGTAATTTTTATAATCATTGTCTGGTCTTCACATTATATTAATTCTGTAGTAATTTGGACATTTAATTTCATTTCTCTTTCATTTCATTTTTAAATTTTCTGTGCTACATGGAAGAAAAAGAAGTTTAAGTTGTCAATTTTGAAGGCAAAATATGGGTGAACTCTGAGTGGTGAATTCCTGGCAGAAAAAACTTCCTGCAGGACTGCTAAGTTCATGAGTTTAGAAAGTGTCTGAACTAATGGGCCTCACAGAAGAAATCTACTATTCAAAAAGCCTTTGTTGGAAGATGTAATCAAAACAGCTGGGGCTGAACAGAAATACACTAATCATAAGGTCACGTGAAATATATAAGCATGAACATCTGCTTCTCAAAAGGTCCTGGAGTAAAAACAAACAACATTATGAAGAAGTCCAAACTTGGGTTTTCAGGGGCACCAAGGAACCGCATATACAGGGAGAAACAAACCTTTGGCAGTGCCATTCGGTTGCAGGCTCCATAGTTCTCAGCCCATGAGGAACCTCAGCAAGGGACTGAGCACTAGGAGACAAATTCCTGCTCTGGGTGTGCTTTGCCTGCACTGCTCACATCCACAACTGCACTGCTCTTCCTGCTTCTGAGTCCATTCTTTGGGCCTGGGAAAAGGGACACAGACCTCACCGCTGGTGGCTTGTGTAGGGTATCTGTGCCCATGAGTTCTAGGAGGGACATGACCCGGCTCCTTTCCATGTGGCCTACAGGGCAGTACATTCTGTTTGCTGGCATCAGACATTAGATCCCTAATACCATTGTTCTGAAGACAGCAAAACTGACACAGGGAGATAAAATATGCACTGTGGCAACCAGGAACCTCACACATGAGCCATGGTATGAACCATGAACTGGAAGTACTGCTTTGGCAATGTCGTACTCAGGGATTGTGCACAGAGAACAACTGGATCAAGACATGGAGTTTACTACTCAGTTTTATATTGGTCACTAGGAGTTAACACAGGAAAATGAAGGAAATGTATCCACAACACCAAAGACATAAATTATTTAGGTAAGAGCCTAAACCCCACAGCACATGTCCCACATCAGTCCAGATAAAAACCCAGAGCTCAGGACAATGCCTCCCAGGAGTTACAACTGGAGGCCCCTATTCCACAAGGAGGACTCACACCAGTCTCTTTTTCGTATCAGTGCCGGGAAGACCCAAGGGTCAGCTTTGGAAGCCAGAAAGTCTATGCCAGCAAAATGAAGGAGCTGTGCTAGTGGGATGAGGGCTTTACACTGGAGCCGAGAAGTCACACTACAAGAAAGACCAGGGTTATCCTGAAAGGCACCACAGCCATCCTCAGCAACATGGAGGCCCCAAGCTCCTCCAAAGACAAGCACAGTCGGGTTCTTGCCAGGAAGCAGCATGAAGAGTTCATCTTGGAGCCAAGCAGCACATGTATTCCCCTCCAGAGTCAGGAAGCAATGCACAATGTGAGGACCAAAGCTTCTCCAGGAGAACCAACAGCTCAGACAGCAAATCATAGGAGAACCCACAATGCCTCCTTAATGCCTCAACCCTAAACACCTCCCTTCTTCTCCACCTGTTTATTCTGGCAACTTTCCTCGGGTAGGGGATCTTCACACAATGCCATGCTGAGGTAATCCAGCTGGTGTTAATTTGACCACCAGTTCTGAATCCATAACAGACAGTTTGGGCATTTTCAATTATACATGACTGAGATGAGGTTTCATGAGAAACCTCCAGCATGGTTGAGTACACAGAGAGTGCAAGAAGCCTGAAGCACGGAATTGAATACAGAGGGAAATTCAATCACAAAGACCAGCAGAAAACGGAGAATTGTAGGCCTCCATGACTGAAGAAATGGGAAATAAGGACTCTGCCTCCCACATCCTCCAGATAGCCCACTCAGGAATTGCTAAAGTTTTAGGGGCTGGGGACTTCACTTGTAGCAAGGATAAATAAAAACAAAGGATGATTAAACATTGGTGTTTTGCTTGACCCAAAGTCCTAACTTCAAGCTTTCAGCCTTTTTGGCAAAATTTCAGTGATTGATACATTTACTTTTATATTCTGATTTAACTTGATATTTTTTGTTTAATTGGTATGTCTAAAAGAGCCTGCACATTGGGATAGTTCTAGAATTCAGCTCCAGGGTTAACTTGCTCTTCTGTTGGTCTCTGCTTGAACTCAGATAAAGACACTACCCAAGTTCCCTTGTAGGTGTTGCCAGTCAGCACTATTTAGACTGTAACTATTTCTGAACTCACTCAGGGACCAAGGGAAAAAGCCTGCCAGGGCACGAGCTTTGTTATAGAGAGGAACTCATAGGTAGGATAAAAAATAAAATACGAACAGTGGACAGACACATTCTTGGTGTCAGAGAATTTTGTATGATAATTCTTGCCTTACCAGGATAAAAAAGGAAGAGAATGACAAAACTACGAGGTTCGAAAATGTTCGGAAAAAGTCTAAAGAGGATGAAGCTTACTTTTTTGTTTTTTGATGTACTAATGATTCTCCCAAATATACAGATCAAAGACTCCTTCAGGGAAATTTTGTGACTGAGAGCAGCGCTGATATTACTAAAAAGTTATAAGGATTGAGGGATGGAGTGAGAAGTCAACTGAATTACTAAGAATGGCTCAAAAGCTTTGTAGAGAGGAAAGAGGAAAAGCAGAAAGTGAAAATCAAGGTCTCTTCTGTACAAAAGGCAGGAAATTGGGGGAAGACTCCACACAAGGGGGACAAGGAAAGACTCAGCAAAGAAACCACAAGGAGACTTCAAGGGGTGTAATCCTAACATAGCAAGTGCGTATTATCAATGTGGAGAGCCAGGGCATTTGAAAGAGAGTATACAGAACAGAAAAGCAAAGCAAAGCTGATTCCTCTCATGGCTTTTGATGAAGGTTGGGTAGTCAGTGGGTTCCTTCTTAGCAGCTCCTCCAAAAACACTTTGCAGATTTAAGTCTGGGACCTAAAGAGGGTCTAGGAAAATATTACTAGTCCAACAGATAAAAGAGAAGGCATACCTGCTTTACTTTTTGAGAAAATATCACTCTAACTAAGAACACAACAGGCTAAAGGATCATTTTTACTCATTTATTTGTTAGGCTTGCTTTTTGAGAAAGGGTGTCATTTTGTAGTTCAGGCTGGTGTGAAACTCACTATGCAGCCCAGCCTGGTCTCAAATTCCGGGCAATCACCATGCCTGTGGCTCCTGAGTGCCAGGGTCACAGGTGTGCACCACCATGCCTGGCAGTGTAAAACTACTCTGTTAGAAAGGGATGACTTGATTCTCAAAACTGACAGCTGTCTGATCCCAGCCAGCTTTGTGGAAGTGAAAGAGGCACCTCTAGACCCTAGAACATTACTTCTTAAGCCAAAAATCAGGCCTGGTTAAAGAAACTCACTCCATAAAGAGATCAGATTATTCATGGGTGCGCCTTGGCCAAGTAAGAGAGGGAAAGATGTATATGATTATGCCATAATTGATGATGAAATACAATCATTATGTGAGTGTGGCGAGTTGCCCAGGGCTACTCAGCTCAAACTTTTGAGCTGTGTGTTCTCAAGCATGATTAGAGCTCCTCGAAGGCCAAGAAGGCACTATACATACTGAAAACAAATGCACTCATGTTATGGCGCATACATTTGGAAACATCTGGAAAGAGCAGGGACTGCGTCTCTTATGATGAAGAGAATCAGATGATACCAAAATTATTTAAAAACCAAATGATATCATTTGGTTAAAATTGGAATAAAAATACGATCAAGACAGTAACAAAGAAAAAGAGGGAATTTGTAAGAAAATAAACTGAAACTGGTGATTTTTAAGACAAAACAGTGAACTCTGAGTAAAAAATTGCTTGCTAGCAGTTAAAATTTTTCTAAAAACTTGAAAAAGTTCATATGTCCAGCACTTTTCCAAGAAAAAGAGTTTTTGGAGGAGAAATCAACTAATGAAAAAGCCTTCAGTTAGAAACATGGGTAAGCTTGTTAAGAATAAGCAGAAAAGTAATCTTCACAAGCATGAAATCTTTAAGCAGGAACATCTTGCTTCTCAGAAAGCCCTAGAGTAAAGAACCAGCAATACCGAGGATCTGCTTTATACAGCAAGTAAGCACACAGGTGGCTTCTGGAAAGATTGTCCCCTCCCCGGACTCGCACAGTGGTGAGCTCTAGAAGGCCCCTGTGGGCTAGGAAATCATTCCTTATGGTGGGCGCCCGGGTGCCACCCTGCCGGTACCATCTTCCCCTCACAGTAGACTGACCACAGCCACACTCTCACTGCTTTTCCCTCCTTCGAGTCAGTTCTTTGAATCGAGGCAAATGAACCCATTTCTCACATGCTGCAGAAGGAATCCAGCACTTTCCATGAGCTAGTCAAGTGGTCTGCCACTAAGTTATCCCCAGACTTTCTAGACAAAACAGTTTTAAATTGTGAGGTAGGATCTTTCCAAATTGCCCATGTTTCATTGCCTTCCTCCTGCCTCAGCTTCTGGCATAGCTAGGGTAATGACACGGATGACTTTACCTGGACACATCATAACACAAGTGACAGTTTAGAAGAATCCTCTGCAGACACTTTTACCCTGGGTTGTTCCCTATGTCTTCCCTCCCATACTTACTTTATATGTCAGTGTTTCTTTATGATGCTTCCCCTTTTTTGTCTCCTTCCTTCTTTCTATCATTCTTTCTAACTGTGGTTTTCCTGTCGTTTGGTGCTGGGAATCTCAGCTAGAGTCTCAACCATATCACTGTTCATTTTCTCTTTCAAAATGACTACCCAGGTCCATATGAAACTGTATTCTAGATGTTTATACGAAGGTGTCCAAACTCAAATGCTAAGGACTTAAGGAACCACATTCTGGAGTGGTGGCACGGCTCAGTGCAAGAGCAGCTGCCTGGCATCCAACAGTCCCAGATTGACAGCACCAACCAATGCAAAACTGAAAAAAATTGAGTCCTTTTCTGACTGAAGTGGTGCGCATGACCAGACAGGGTAGCACAGGCCTACAATAATAATTCCTCAGGAGCCAGAGGTAAAAGCACGCAGTCTTTAAGTTCATCGGGGCAACTTAGCAGGGCCTTGTGTCTCATTACAATCAAAAGTGCTGTGGATGTAACCCAGCACTTTGTATTAACCTCAAACCACCATGTGAGTGTGGTGCTGGTGGAGGAGCCCACTCCATTCATAAGGGTGTTAAGTACGGTGTCATGGATCACAGAGAATGTCTTTGGAATTAAACAATTTTCTTGTAGTGTGAAGTGTAGTGTAGTGAACACTAGTTTACCAGTAAAATGCAATTATCCCACAAGGACACCTTGTGAGAATTTCTCTGTTGGATGTTCACATGGTAAAAAGTCTTGTCTCTAAGGCACTGAACTCTTTCTCCTGAAACAGACTGATTTGCGTTTGCCTGATGTTGGCTCTGCAAATCAGGGAGTCAAAAAAGGAGTTCATGACACAGAAGGCCTCTTTTGCCTGAAGCTGCTTATAGAAAGCAGCTCTGCAGCTAGAGACACCCAGAAATGGGAGGAGGTGGGGGAAACAGGATGGGTGTGGGCCACAGCATGGGAGGGAGCTTTTCACATGGTGTATTTCATGATATGCAGATGTCTCTCTCTAGCCTGGGACATATGCTCTTCCCAGGGGCAGGCAGTCATTCCTCACTCCACAGATCCCACAGGAGGCAGATGTTTCCTGTGCAGAGCAACCTTCCTTGAGTCTGACTCCCAACACCTTCGCCTGCTAACTCCCTCCCAGCACACATGACCGATGCTCGAAATCACCCAAAACCAAACTGCCAACGACCCCCACAGTCACTACCTGATGGAGTTACTGCAGGTTTCCATTTCTGACCTGATGATGACTGGGGTCTAGATTGTTTTCCTTCAGCCCAACAGCAGCTCTGGCCTAGTCCTGCCCTCTCCTCTTCAGACATGAGTCTTTCATGAGGGGCCTAACTCAGCTCTACCTGGCATGAGTAACCCCTGCTCTGAGACTTGGAAGTGCATAAATATCTTCCTTTCAAGATTCATTCTAGCCCCATTCTGGGGGGGCAAACATTTCCACCCTACCTTTAAAATCTACTCTCCTAGAATGCAGCAGGTCTCATGGACCAAGATAAGAAAACAGGACAGAAGGAAAGTCAAGTGTCTCACTCACCTTATTGACCTGATGACAATAATTACAACTACACAAAAACCTTCCTCAAGGGGGAGATTTGAGGGGTTAAGTTCCATTCAGGGGCTGCCCACCAGGATCAGAGATGATGTGACCTAAGTTTGGGTGTTAGTCAGTAGCACTGGCAGAAATCACCTCCCAGATCAAAAAGTAAGGGAAATGACATCTCTGCCAGCTAACACTTGAGGGGTGACTATGTCTAAGCACCTCTCCTTGGTGTTTTGGACATGTCATTCACTATTCTCCACAGACTACGAAATTGGCAGCACTAGTATTTCTTTTTTATGGGAGAGATGTGAACTACACCGTTTGTGATCCAACAATTAATGTCAAAGTTTAAGTTCTTCATGGGGTTGTGGGTGGGTGGCAGAATTGTCTAGGCATTGGGCTCACCCCTGAGTGATGGTGAAGGACCAGGGTGCAGTGAAGGGTGGTAGGACCCACGGGTGCTCTGGAAAGGATGTTGGAGAATGAGGGGGCGCCTCACCTCACTGTCTGAGGAATACAAAGTAGGCTAAGAGATGGATGCTTCCACGGCCTTAAGGCAAGAAATGTGCCATCGGTCAAGACAGGACACTCCTATCTGCAAAGATGACAGTGCTAGAATTAAGTCTTCCTGGTCTCAACAGGAAGACTCACCAAAGAGTCACAGTATTCCACACCATTTCCTGCAAGTGTACCCTTAAGTACAACAGTTCCATCGAAGCCCCCCAATCCTGTGAGTTACCTGACATCAAACCTGTTTGACAAACCAAGTGCAGAGATATGAGTCTATCTTTAAATGGCTATCCCATCTGTAATATTTACACATACTCTCTCTGAGCATCCACTTAGTATGGATTTTTGATACCTTATGAATTGCTTCAATAGCAGAGAAACATGATCAAATTCAAAAGATAATAGCTGAATTTACCACAGAATTTCACACTTGTAGAGTTCTGTTGTAGTAACACAAAAAGTTCTTCAAATCATATTTCAAATACACAACAAAATAAAGACATCAGAAGTATATCTTTGGTACTTTTTTAAACAGTAACAAACCTCCCAAATTACCGTCTTATGATAGTGTGTGCCTTCTTCACTGAATGGAAGAAAAGATGCATGGGAATTAATAAAAGAAGTGCTACACTAATGAACATGACGCTAACTTCCGTGAGTAGGGAAGTAGAAGAACCTTAGGGATTGATGTGGGTTGTGGTAAGGTAGAACCTTGTTTTATCCACAGAGCAGTTGGGAGGATGTACTCAGAAGAAAAATGTATATATGAATTGTTTGTATAAGAAAATAGAATTTTAAAGCTTAGCTAAAAATGACATCATGTATTGATCACCCATTCTTCCATATTGCATATGAACAATTCTAGAAATAAAATCCATCATTAAGATTTTAAAATTGGGAAGATATGATAATAAAACATTCTCGGGGAATACTGCAGGAGAATTTTAAATCTGATTTTATACAGGACAATGTTTCACACCTCAGGTAAAAAATAAAATGAATGGTACCTGATTGTTTTCTGGGCTACATTAGAAGCTAATGTTGACTGGAAGCTGAGAAGCAGTGATCCATAGTCCAGACTTTTTCAGATACAAATCTGAATATTTTCAGTTGAAGTATCTTGTAACCCTCTATGTCAAACATTGGTTACTAGTCTAAAGTTTAAGTTGCTGTTTTCTTTTTAAAGTTACAAAGATAATTTTTGAGCCAGGGTCTCATTACACAGTCCAGATGCTCCAGACGCATGTGTAGCCAGACTGGGTCTTAACTGTCAAAGTTGTGTCAAAGTTTGGTATCTGATTGTTTTGTCTCCCTACACAAAAATAGTTCAGGCTGTGAGTGTAGAGCCACATATGCCAATCTACAGGAAGACGTGGGAGGATGGCAAGTTCTTGGGCAGCCAGAAAGCACACAGTGAGACCCTGTCTCCATGTAACACACAGAAAGAGCTGACTCTATACCTCAGTGAAAGAATGCTTCTAGGATTCATCGTCAGTACTCTCCATAACCAAATAAATTTGTAAAGTTTTAAAGTAGCACAAAACACCATACTATATATACACACATATATATGGATATATATATTCCCCCTTGCTGTACATTCAGGCCGCAAAACCCAGAGGATAACTCTCCAAGTTCAAATAGCCATCTACTCTTGTGGTCAGTACCCACTGAAATCACCATCAAAAGTATGTTACTTGGCTAAGATATATCAAGAGCCAGGTGTAGTTTTACTTATTTAGCTTTGTGGATATGAAGGAGAAAGCAGAAAGAGATGTGCTCACCTCAACAGTCGCTTACCATCTGAGACCAACTGTCACTGTTACTGAGACCCAATCAGCTGAAGGAGCACATGCCAGTGACATCACCATTTTGCTTGGCAGTCATGCAAATGAGATGATTTCTCACTCCCCATTGGCTAGGCCACTCCCAGCATCACCAAATGATTGAGATCTACTTTCTCATGTGCATTACTGCTGCTCCTTCAGCAGATATTTTCCTGTAGGTTGTTTTGTACATTTCTGGTATTTAATTTTACTGGTCCATGTTTGCAGTTCTTGGAGTTTAAAATCCCCTGAGGGGAGATGATCTGTACATAGCACAGATTGCTTCCTCTTTTTGTTTAATCACCCCATGTCCTCCAGTTCCCTTATCTCACTTTTCATTCCTGTTGGTATCACTCATTTATCTGAGGTACAGACTTAGCTCTGTGACTAGGTGCTTCTGACTAGTCTTTTCTGTGGTTGCTCAGGGCTGCAAGTCATACCTGGTTTCACTGCAGGTGGAGAGCTTTGGGCTCCCTGCCTTGTTATAGGCAGCCCCAGCTGCTCCCTATGAAAGCCCACAGAGGCTAGACAGAGAGAAGGAACTAATGGAAGCCACAGTGTCTTCAGTTCATCCTGGAAGCCACATTCTCTGTGCTAATGCCGACAAAGTCCGACCTTAGCACAATGTGAGACCTTGGGGAAGTTAAGCTGGAAGGGGTCCGTGACTGCTATTTGCCTTATGAGCTGCTGGGGATAGAGTGCATGGCCTTTGCCCTGGCTGCCTCCCCAGATCTTTTTACTTCATCTGCTCTGAGACAGTGAACCCCTGACACTGGTCAAGCTCTACTGCATGTGGGTGCTCGTGATGCTGTCTCATTAGTACTGGGATAACACCCAAGCATCACCACCCTGGGTCCTGGCATCTTCCTTGAAGCCTAGCTACCACCAATTCTCAAACCACTTCTTGTATAATTGCTAAGTACACCTCTATGTGCAGAGTTCCAGCAGAGATGAAGGGATTTGGGGCACTACAAACACTGATATGTCTCGAGGACACACAGAGATAATTCCATTTATATCAACTGAATGAGCACTCAGGGAAGAAAAAAAAAGTGCTCCAAATGAAATCACACCTGAGGCACCTTGTGCAGCATAATTATAGATCAGGTCAGTACTCTTTCGCTAAGAGAAGATGACTGTTTTAATAGTGTTGAAACTGGTCCTCATATAACCAAAATAAATGCTGTACTAATGAAGAAAGTCTCAGTCTTTTCATTTCACTTTTTAAAAGAATTTTTTGAACTGTCTGCAGTACTGGAGAATGGATACAGAACTTGCTACATGCTAGGCAAGTGACATTGCCACCAAGTTACACCCATAGCCTTTTTCATCCAAGTCTCTGACATTTTCACGGAGGCTATTTTCTTCATTGCCCAGCATTCCTGGGAATTTAGCACCCTCTTGCCTCAGCCTTTGGCGTAGCCAGGGTACAAATGCAGATGACCCACCTGCCACGTCAAAATTCAGCTCAGCAGAAGCCTCTTCAGGGAAATTTCCTGCAGCCACGCAGCCAGAAGAGCTTTCTTTCAGCCTTCTTTCTGTTACTTTCTTTATATTTGTATTTTTTCTGAACTTAATTTTTGTTTTCTCACTCATTTTTTTGTTGTGGTTACACTGAGAGACTGAATTCAATGACTGTTAATTTTCCCTATCAAATTTCTGGATCAGATACTTGATTAAACTGTGTTTTGAATGTTTCCAGAAGAATGTGATTCAGTGAATCAACTTTGATATGAATGGCGTTTCGGGGCACAGTCATCCATGTCCCTCCTCGTAACTGTTTTCAGGCTGATGATCATCCTGTGAAACCTAGAGGACCTCTGTCTCAAAATATAAAATCAAATAGTAAGGTCAAAAATTCCCCAGATTCTAATCCACAGTACTCCCAATGCGGAAATAAATCAGTGTATCTGAAATCTATATACTAGAAGTAGCTCACTGTGAAAGTAGTCTTACTTAAATACTAATAAGTGAATAATACTTGAAAAAACTACACGACCCAACTCTCTTGTGCAAATGTGCTAAAGAAAAATGTTCCGTGGCGGGTTCATAGTTCAGTGGTAGCACACGTCCTGAGCACACAGGGTGTCTATTTTTTGTAGCCACAATTGCAAAACCACAAATACCAAGTAAAAAGAACTGAAAGAATGAAGCAGACTTCTGTGTCAGACATGATGGCTGGGGGAAGAAGTTGGAGAGTTGGAGCCCAGGCTACATAGGATAGCCAGGCCCTTGCCTCATACCACCAGCAACAAAAAGTAATTAATAATAAATAGAAAGAAAGGAAGGGAGAGAGAGGCCTGTGTTTTTAGCCAGTGCTCCATAATTCAGGTGCCAGTACCTTGGATTTTGGAGTGTGGAAGGGAGTCTGTATTTGTAAAGATTTAAAATACATTGCAATTGTTCCCCAAGACATTATTTTTGAAACTTAATAAAACGCTCATTGTATAGACTTAAATGAGTTTATAAACACAATGCAGATATTCTTAAAACAGTGTCTTATGACACTGTGGTGAATGCTTACCTGGGCAATAACCCTGTTCACTAATACGTCCAACCCCATTCATGGAAATCCTCCTACTTCCACTCACCTAGCATTGATTCATGCCAGGGAGGTGGCAGAGGTGTTTGGGCCAAAGCACCCAGGCTCTCAGTGGGCTTCTCAGCATGCAGCAGGCAAGCAATTAGTAACACCCCTGGGGGAAGAGGAGGAGAAACAACTGGATGGTGCAGGTGGAGAGGAGTCAGGGAGTCCCAGTGTCCCCTTCAGCATTACAAACCATAGACTAAATAGGGATGAATGCAGGGCTTTCCCACTGAGCAAAATGCCAAATTGTCTTTTAGAACAAGGTCTCACCCAGTCTCTAAGTTGCCTAGACTGGGCTCACACTTGGGATCATCCGCCTCAGCCTCCCTGAAGGCTGGGATTATAGGCATAGGCTACCAAGCTGGCCCCTTTAGCCTTTCTGTAGGGAAGGTGTATTTCTGACCTAGTTCTTCAGACTTTTTGGCCTGCCTTTCTCTCCCCCTCCCTTAACACTCCCCCGCCGTTCTTCTCTCTGCTCCCCTTCCACCTCCTCTGCTACCTCTGCTGCTTCTTCCTCCCCTTCTTCTTCCTAGGGACGGCACACTGGGCCTTTTACATGCTCTAATGGAGTGACATCACCAGCCCCTCTTAGCACTTTATTTTTCTTTTTTAAGCACTTTATGTCACCTGGCTGGCCTTCGTGGCTTCTGATAAGTAAAGAACAGTTAATAGTGCTCCCTTGCACATTGTAAGTTGCTTGTGGAGCTTTTGAGCACTTCCTGAGTTAACCACGATAAAATGAATATTATGCCTGAGAGATGACTGTGTCCCAGGCATCTCTGCTGAATGTTTTGAATGCACCACTTACTATTTACAGCAGGTAGTGGAGTAGATGCCAATACAGTTTCCATTTTACAGGTCAGATGTGAAGTACATGGCTCATAATCTCACGATTGGTGTTAAAACCGATTCTTGTCAGTGAGCTGTCCATCCAGGCACTTTCTAGGAAATTGCAAGAGCATGAACAAAAACAGAAACAAAAACAAAAAGAGAGGAAACCTCTGTGGCTAAATTAACTTGCACTACTTAACAAAACGAGGGCTTCCTGCCAAAACCTCCATTTCTAACACACCTGAGTGGACCAGGGCAGGGGAGAACACCAGGATGGTTTCTTTGATCTTAGGTTTGCAATTGGTGCCCGTGCTCAAGTGAACTGTCCTAGAAGAAGTTGCTTATAGTGCAGTAAGTAATAAGTACATCATTTTAATCAAATAACTTACAGAAAAAACACACCTTCGCATAAAGTGAACCAGGCTCCACCACGGGGATCTCGAGGAGTCTCAGCAAGAAGACAAAGTGTGGGAGGGCTCCCATGAACCACTGATGTAGTTGGTGGGAAACCAGAAGAGCGTCCCTCATCACGCTATAAGCAACTGCCTGATTCAGAGGACACAGCATGAGATGACAGCAACTTAGCTGAAAGGAATACCTTGATGCTTGAGCTGTTTGGTTGTCTTTGCAGGCCTGTGGCTAGTGTTCTGGGCATCTGTTTGGAGGATGGCAGTGTACACTGTGGCAACTGTGAGAGATTTCCTCTGTCTTGTTTTTTAAATTCACTGTTTTGTTCCATTTTACTGTTTCTTTGATTGCTGTGTCTGGTAACCTGAGCAACTATTTTGAAGATAGCAATATGCAGTATAAGAACCATTGTTAAATTCCTGCCACCTTGTTTTGAAGACCTATGTAACTATTGCTGCTTTTTTGTTGTTGTTGCTGTCATTTTGATTTTGTTGTTTTCTTTAGGTTTGTTCGCATCTTGACTTTTATGGATAATTTCTTTTTTCTCTTGAAAATAACAAATGTGTAACAGATACTATGAATTGGAAAGAAATTGTTCAAAGAAAAGACAAACTGTGATGGGGAAAGTAAGAATAGGTAAAAGGCCAAAATATATGTATACAAAAGATAGTTACAGTGCTCATAGAGCTAGTTTCTGTCTGTTCCTTGAAAAGAATGTTTTGCACCAATACTTTGTAGACAAGGTACCATGACTATGTCCTGCACACCTACTACAATAAACCAGTGCTCAGCATATCAAGTATTGTAACTGTCCCATACCCTACTTTGAAGCTGATATTCGTTGTTCATTCTTCAGTTTTCCCTTTGAAATATTTTTTTAAAAAGAAGGTACAAATACCTTTTATCTTGCTACTGTATATTTTGTTTCTCTTTAATGTAATCTGTATTAATTACATATATTTACTTATGCTTAGCAACACTATAAGAAACCTGTATGTCTCTAAAAATTAGTACAATATTTTAATGATTTTATCCTAGGGTTTCTGAACAGAAGATGTGGTGAGTTTCCTCCTGATGGAGATACTGGTTATAGAAATGTGCTGGATAATCCAAAGTTCCTTTTTTGTAAATATGTCCTTAAATCTTTATAGGAAGA